CTGTTGCTGTCAGCTCTTTTAATTGTATTTGTGAAGCCTCACAGATATTGTTGTTTTATCTAATCAGTATTTATTTATTTTTACCCACATATCTGTCCTTTTTTCTTGCCCATAATATTTCCACTTGGATTGTTTTTCTTCTGCCTTGAGATACCTTTCAGTATTTTCTCCGGTGTAGGTCTGCTGGTGACACATTTTCTTAGTTTTTATTGATCTGAAAATGTATTTCACATTCATTTAAAAGTGGATATTTTACTAGCGTGGGATTTTGTGCACCTATATGTAGATTTCTAGGAATATGTAGATCTATGTTTGGCTTCTTGACTCTGGCTTGTTTTCTTTGGTCAGTTTCGGAAGATTCTCAGATGTCCCTTTACATGTGCCTCTCTCTACCTAATCTTCTTTACTTCTAAGGCTCCAGTTCCGCATATTTGAGGTCTTTTTACAGTATTTCCTGTGCTTTTGACTTCTTTTCCATCCTTTCTGTTTGTGATTCATGGGTGTTTTATCCTAATCCATGACTGGTCCACTAACTCATCTGTGTCTAATCTGATTTTGATAATTGCATTTTTCTGGTCTAGCATTTCTACTTAGCTCTATGAAATCTGCTATATCCTTTTTTATGTCTTAGAATTCTTTGTTGGAATCTCTATGGTATCTTTCATTCTTTTGAACCAGGTGTGTGTCAGATATCACCGCCAGTGCCTGGAGTTCCTTTGGGGATGCCTCCTTTTCTTTCCTCCTCCTGCTCATCTTCCTCCTCCTTTCTTTTCCCTTCTTCCTCCCCCCCCCCGCCGAGATAGTTTCTCACTGTGTTGCCCAGGCTGGTCTCAAACTCCTGGCCTTACGTGATTCTCATGCCTCAGCCTCCTAAAGTTTGGGATTTCAGAAGTGAGCCGCAGTGCCTGGCCCACTGTGTTCCTATTTTCTGTTGTTTTTGCTGGTTCTCATTCACATGATCTTCTCGTGTGCCTGGACATCATTGACTGTGTGCGTCATCTTGTGTTTGATGAGGTCTTTGTGGAAATAGTTTGAGGCCCAGGGTGATGTCTCTCTCGAGAAAGGGGTATGCTTTCTTATGGCAGTCACTCAGCTGCGCTCACGATAGGGTCTCAACCCCATGTCAGATGCTGGATGGTTGGAAGCTGGGCTACTTTCCCCGCAAAGGCCTGGCTCTGCAGGATTTCCCCTGCTCTGGTGGCAGGGGGGCTCACATGGCCTCTACAAGGCTGTCAAAGAAGTCGCCTAGGCTCTCAGTCCCTCGGGACCTCTTTGAGAATCAGCAAGTGTCCCTGTGGGAAAAGCAGGCCCAGAATTACCTGTCTGCCTTTCTGGATGCGCATTGTCTCTCAGATCCTGGAAGAATAATTTTTCTCTGTCTTGTTAGCTTCCATATGCCTTTATGCAGGTGATTTGTGTGTTTTGTCCAGCTTTTAAAGATCATCCTTGTCAGGAGAGTGGATTAGAATGACCTAGTCTGCCTTTACTGAAAGAGGAAATTTCCTTTTATTTTTCTTCTTCGTTTAATCTCCGAATGATATTAGCCCCAGATGTTTGTGTATATACACACATTGAAACATTTGTGTCTAGATTCTATGTACACATAAACCCCTCTACCATACCCTGTCTTCACCTCCATATCCACACAGATCAGTTGATTGTTTTCTAATGATATGTTAGGAATAATCCAAAAACTAAAATTATTAAATATTCTGCCAAAACACTTCTGATGCATTTCCTTACTTAAACTTTGAATTCTTATGCTTTCATATTTTGTGGGGGTGATACTATTTTTATAGTAGCATTTCTCCACAATTGATCTTTATTTTCTCTGTAGGCAATCTTATCCACACCTATGTCTTTAAATAACATATAATCTGTCTTAATTTACTTATTTATAGCCCACCATTTCCAAAGGGTTAGATCTCTGTAATCTCTACTTGGACGTCTCAAAGGCATCTCATAGTTAACAAGTACAAAATTGAGCTCATGGTATTTCTCTGGACACCTGGGCTTCCCCCAGTGCTCTGCTGTGGGCTTCCTCTTTTTTTTTTCTTTTGAGTTGCAGTTTCACTCTGTTGCCCAGGCTGGAATGCAATGGCACACCCATGGCCTCCCCAGCGTCGACCTGCTGAGCTTTAGTGATCCTTCCGCCTCAGCCTTCCAAGTAGCTAGAACTACAGACATGTGCTACCATGCCCGGCTATTTTTTATTTTGTTGTAGAGACGAGGTCTCACCAAGTTGCCTGGGCTGGCCTTGAACCCGTGGGCTCAAGCAATCCATTTACCTCGGCCTCCCAAAGTGCTGGGATGACAGGCTGAGCCACCGAGCCCGGTCTTCCTGAGTGTTTTGATCTGAGTGTGATCCACTGTTACCCACCTACTTTCCAAGCCAGGATCTTGGAAGTTATCCTTGATGCCATTGATCCTTCTATTACGCGTGTAGTCCTGTTTTTATTTTTATCTTAAATATTTTTGGAATCCGCCTGTCTTTGTCCAGCACACTCCCTCCACTCTAGTCCTGGGTATTTGGAGGGCTCGCTGGGGCCAGTGTCGTGGCTTTCCAAGTGGTCCTCGCCCACTGCCTGCCGCCCATTCCGTCCTGCTGTGGTCCCTTCAACTCCGTCTTCAGCTCTAGGGTCCACTTGGTATTTCAGAGCCTTTGGAAGCGCAGCCTGAACATTCTCTGGCATGACCCGCCCGGGACCCCTGCGCACGCGGTGCTCCACAGCTCGGCCACTGCCTTGCCTGTGCGCTGGGCACGCAGATCTGCTGTGGCTTCCTCCGGTCTCCACGTTTCTCCTTTCGCGATGCTGGGATGCATTCTCTCCTAGTCTCCTGGCTTCTCTGTCGCCCTTCATCTCGCCCTTTGTCTCATTCGTTCTTTCTCTCGACACAGGCCACGTGTCAGTTCTCAGCAAAGGAGGTCGCCTGCCAGTGCTTCATGGTGTCTTGTACGTTTCGTCCTTTGCTCCTGTCCCAGTTTTCATGGCACGGTTCAGTTTGCGGAGTGGAAGAATGTGAGCTCCAGCGGGACTAGCACCTTGCAGCATGTGCCCAGAACATAGCTGAGCATTTGTTGTGTGTTCGTGTGTGTGTTGTCAGCCCTTGTCACTCAGAGATGTCCTTGTCTTTGATTTCTTTGCAGCTTCCCAGAACTATGATTCTGGTACTTACTGAATAACTTAGGATGAAATTAACAGTGTATTAGATTCAGAATTAGATTTTATCTGGGCTACTTTGGAGAGAGATTAGGATAGAAGATGAAAGTGTTACCTCCGACAAGGAAAAAATACCCTGTTTCTGCTTGCTGATAGAAGTTTGCCAGACTTGCCATTGCTGCTTTTTTTCTAAGAAAACACTTGATAATTTTTCTTTGAAAAATTATTGACTGTTAGACAGGGTGTGGTGGCTCATGCCTGTTATCCCAGCACTTTGGGAGGCCAAGGCGGAAGGATCACCTGAGCCCAGGAATTTGAGACTGTGGGTAGTCATGAGTGTGCAGCCTGGTTGGTGAGTGAGATCCCGACTAAAAAAAAATTTTATATATATAATTAAACATTGCTGTCATGGAGCATTTGAGATGGTTCTTTATCACTGTTGCATCCATTAAAAATGTATTCCTTTAATAAGCACATCATTTATTTGCAGAGTTTTGCATTATTTACATTTTAAGCCTAAATTATGAAATTATGCACGATTCTAGCTTACTGTGTATAAAAATGACTTAGTAGAGTGGTCCAGCTAGAAGCTCAGTTTCAAAACCACGGTCCTGAAGTTTACTTTTTGTTTGGCAGAGCATTTAGTGATGTTTGCTATGGGTATTGGCCCTTTCTTTATGGAAAGAGTTCTTCTGGAGATTTTTGTGTGTCCCTCCTCATGACCCTTGCTAACCACTGAAACGCAGATTTAAAGAAGGGTCAGGGTTTTTGTTTTGCTATTTCTGTTGGCTGTCTTCACTTGGTGTTTTCCCTCTCAGATTTGGATACTCAGCAGCCTCGAGTGAGTAAGTTCCCTCCACCCTCTCTTTCAATGTGGAATGTGGCAGTCAGGGATGGGGAGAAGAGGGAGGCGTCACGGCTAATTGGTAAAGGTGTCTGGGAGCGGACATTGCAGCTCTTCACATTTCACTGGTTTGAAGATCTCTCATAAATGCTAAGATGTTACAGTGAAAGAGCTGTTCACTGCTGGTGTTCGTCACTGAACATTCCCTCACGACCCTCAATACCCAGATATTTTATGTGTTCTGGATCGTCAGTATTTTAAATTTAGCTTCCTGTTATTTAGTTTCTAAATGGTCAGTGATACTCTCGCTATATATAATATTTTGTTTTCTTATTTTTTTTGAGTTGGAGTCCCACTCTGTCACCCAGGCTGGAGTGCGGTGGCACGCTCAGAGCCACTGCAGTCTCAACCTGCTGGGCTCCGGTGATCCTCCTGCCTCAGCCTTGCAAGTAGCGGGAACCACAGGTGCATGCCACCACACACAGCTAATTTTTAAATTTCTTGTAGAGACAAAATCTCACCAAGTTACCCATGCTGGTCTCCAACCCCTGGACTCAGGCAGTCCTGAGGATTAGTTTCAGAATGTGTAACTCTAAAATACGTTCCCATTTGGAACAAGCCAATGATTTATTTAGCGCGTCTCTATATTGTGTATTGTAAAGAGAACTCTCTTCTTAATGGACATAATGCAGGCTTATTGGAGACAGCTATTTCCCTTTTCACAGGAATGTATCATGCTGTTTTACAAAACACTTTCTTGCATCATTCATGTTAGCTAAAGAATGAATTTAAATACAGATGTGTCTAGTACATCTTCCTTCCTTGAATGGGTATAGTCTTTAAAATTTGGAAATGTGCCATTAACACGTTAATGAGATGTCTCATTTCATTTTTGAGGCGTTGAAGTTGGCATGCCAGCCATGCGGTCGTATGCGAGAGGAATAGTGACTGGCGTGAAGGCGTGTGCTTAAGCAATAGAGGAATTTACTTTTCAGTGTCTTCCAAGGTCCGTGAGGATGCACACTTATTTATCCTGAGAGTATGGATCTCACATATGTTTGTCCAGAGGGTGTGACTCTGAGGAGGAGAACACTTACTGGTAAGTATCAAACCCTTGCTGTATAATGTTTCAGAAAAATATGTTAAAAATCAGTTGATTTTTAGCAGTGATAAAATCTCTTAGTCTGTGCTGGTTTCTTAACAGTGGACAGTTCCAGATGTTGAAGTCAGCACAACAAGAGAAAAACCCAAATCCTGATAAGACTTGAGGATTTTTCGAAAATTAAGTGCAAAATAGTTGGGGCAAATGTTGCTGCGGGAGTCAAGACTAAGTAATACAGTAAGAAGATATGAAGTTGGAGAGCTTCTCGTGTGCTTCTTTTGCATAAAGTTTGCATTTGTACAAATCCAGGACTTTGAGGACTTTAAAAGGGGGCAGAGTTGTGTCTCTTGGAACCTAAAACAACAAGCTCATGTGAACCGAAATGTACATTGTGGCCCTCACAATTTATTTTAACATTTCTTTGCAAAGTCCTTTCTGTTTCTAAATAAAAGCTGTGCCTTCTGAAACCTGTAAGTGATGTATATTGGCCACATCAAATCTTTTCAAAGCGTTTTCCAAATCTAAGGTGGTTAGTGTGGAACGCGTGTTTGTTTCGAAAACAGTCAGACAAAGGGGAACAGGAAGTCTGGTTTCAGAGACCGATTGCTGCTTCTACTTTAAGCCTTCACGTGCCTTCTCTCAGCCATGAACTCTTAATTGATGGAGCTGACTGTTGGTTGGAAAGACGCGTCATGTTTGTGCATGTGATGCAAAAGTTTAGAACCAAACAAAACTCCGCCACCCTAACAGGTGATAGGTCTTCTGGGAATTAGGCATAGCATGTAAACATCGGCCACAGCCAACGCCACTGCCCTATCTTCCATGCTGCCATGGGAAGGCTCAGCAATGACTTAAGCCATCCTAAGCCATCCTTTCACACAGAGCGAATGGAAGTGCAGAATCTGTGAAGGAGGATTTCGTGCTTAGGAGTGTGTGTGGCATCTGGCAGCCAAGGGTCAGTTGGAGTTGCCAGTTATCAGTGCACTGGCCTTTCTCAAAATACCTGGCTGCTCTGAGTCGGCTTGTTCTGCCGTAGAAATCCCTGTGCTGTCCCCTGTCGTGATGCCTGGCAGTGTCCCGCCATGCCGAGTCGAGGAGTCTGGGTATATGGTCTGAATCACAGATACAGAGATGTTGGGGTAAGAGGGTGGCAGTGTGGACGCGACAGGAAGGCTTGAGGATGCATTTCTGTGTGGTCTGTTTCTACTTTGCCCTCTGTCTAATTCTGCCAATTCCTAATCTTCAGGACTCACCTCAGCATCTCCTGAAGCCACCTTTTAGGAGATGTGGAAAGTGTGTGTGAAGGGAGACAGCGTCAGGAGCAGGAAGTGTAGGTGGAAGGGTAAGCGACGTTCAGTCACCCAGCGATTACCTGCTGGAGGCTGCTGTGTGCTGGGAGGGGTCATGAAGCCTCCCTTCCAGCTGTGGGGGACCGTGGACCGGTGGGGCAAATGCCTTCACAGGGGGATGGAGCTGGGGCTGGGGCAGCTTTCGGTTTCTGGCAGGGTTGCCAGGGAAGGCCTCATTGAAAAGGCGGTATTTGGGCCGAGGCTTGGAAGAGCTCGGGGTCAGCCATGTGGAAATCCGGGAAAGGGGTTGTTGGGAGCAGGTCCCATCGGTCATTAAAAGGACTGACTTTCCCCCTGAGTGAGAATGGAGACCACTGGAGAGTTCTGAGCAGGAGAGTGACAAGACCTGACTTGTTTTGCAGAAAGACTCTCTCTAGCTGCTGTGTATAGAATGCATAGCAGAGGGACAGGGACGGAACTGGGGAGTCCGAAAGGTTATTGGAGTCATTCAGGCTGCAGACGAAGGTGGCTTAGAGTAGGGTGGTCACGGAGAGGCGACTGGTGGTCGTTCTGGGTCTGCTTTCAAGGGAGAACCTTCAGGGTTCGTTGGTCTTTCGATTGAGGGGGTGAGGGAATACGAGGAGTTGAGGGTGGCTTCAGAGTTTTGAGGCCGAGTGGTTGCCAGGCAGAGTTGTCCTTTGCCACCTATGGTTGAGGAGGATTTCGGGAGGAGCAGGTTTTGGGGTGAGATCAGCTGAAGTGTGGGCAAGGTGAGGTCCCTACTGGGTACTCCAGGGTAGTGTAGACAGGAGGCGGGAAATACCGTAGTCATGGTTTAAGTGCTTATTTTGCACAGTAAGTTGGGGGGCATGAAAGTTCTGTGTCAATGTCGTAAGTCTCTTAGGAGGATAGTGCTGTATTCACATTATGTATGTTAGTTAATAATGCAAAAAGATGAATGTTTCTAAGATCACAGACAATGAAACGTTTTTATGACTAATTCCCTATTGTCCTACTAACTTTACTATATTAGTTATAAAATAGGCATATGAAGGAAATTCCTATAATTGCCATAATTGATTGAACAAGTAATGCCTCTGCCTGCCTTTACATTGTACACACTCACACACTTCCGGAGAAGTAGAGGTAATGTCTCTGATGAGGCTTATTTAGAAAGATAGGTTTTGTTTTTCTTTTTCGTGTGTTGAAAACTAATATTCTAATGTAGGCTTTACTTCTTTTGAAAATGCATGAAGAATTTTTTAAAATGGTGAATCTCCGGAGAGGGCTGTGAATAGAATTAGGTTTCAAAAGCATATTCTTATATTTAAGAAATTCTCTTATAAAAACTGTTTACTTCATGGTAATTTATGTTCTGATTGGTTATTTAAATGAAAAAATTTATTTGCATTTGCACGCTCTTAAGTGTATCTTTTTTATAGTAGAATGTATAATGTTTAGTTTTTGAAACACAAATACAAGTAATGAAAACACACGTGGTTGTCTGAGAGTTGACATTGTAGGCAGGATGGCAAACTGTACAATACAAACAGCAAAGTAGAAATTAAAACCTATCAGAACACCTAATCTGTTTTGTGTACCACTTACAACTTCTATTCAACAAAGCACTGGAATGTCACTTTACAAATTCCCAAGATTTCATGTGGTCTGATGAGTTAATTGATGAGCTGCAGATGAATAGAGTTCTCTTAAATAAAGGAATAGAAGCACATATTTATAAAGGTCGTATGTAGTAACTGTATGGAACGTGACTGTGTTTGGTTTCTGAATGTTGGATGTTTTAAAGTGACAAGTTCTGATCTCTCATCTATGTAAATAGCACCTCTTTCTGATTATGCAGGAAGCCCTGCACGTTGCAGGCGTGGAGATGCAGTTAACGGCTGCGGTATCCTTTCTGACCATCCTACAGGAAGAAGCGGTGTCGATCCATGCATATGCCCACTCGTTTCTCCAAGTCATTCTCTTGCATCTGGAGCACAGGGACGCAGGTCAGGAGCCCGGCTTGCTAATTATGCATATGTCAGTGTTTCTTGGATGTGGCCGTGATGCTGTGTGAGTCCTGTTAACCCGACGAAGACATCTGAGTGAGGCCATGCAGCCCGGGAGTTGAACAGTGGAATCACGTAAAATAGCTGTGGCCGTCTTCTTCCAAGACCCACAGAGTTCAGGATCTTGAAAGCTGAAGACCCGTCCATTCATCTTACGATGTATACTTCTTCGATTTTTTTCTTTTATAACACTTAGGTTTGTAGTAGTATTCTGCAGCAAAAAAGCATAACTTGGTGTAAAGATACCTCATCAATGCTATTTTTTAAATGCAAAAATTTTTTGGATGTTGGCTAAGACAAAAATAATAGAGAAATTTCTTAGGATAGTAATAAAAATAATCAATTCAGTTTTATCATTAAATGCTATTGTAACTACTAATGACTGAATCGTAACTGACTTTGAAGTGAGGCATTTAATTTAGCAGGCTGTATCTGTGTCAACCAGGTGTCAGCAATGCGTGGCTGGAAACTCTTCTGTCTGTTATAGAAGTATTGCCAAGAGAAACCCTAAGGCATGAGGTAACACTGTTTTTGGTAAATACTAATAAGTAAGTCACTCTAAGGTCTTTTAAAAGTTTTTTGACAAAAAGGGCTTGTAAAAATGGATACAGTTTTTCATTCTGAAAGCAACACATGCGCATGGTACAAAATGTGAGTAATACAGAAAATGGAAGACAATAGTTCTTAGTTCTATACTTGTCCATTGGAGGTTCTGATATCTTTTGTTTCAGATTTTTTTCCTATGTATGTTTGCTGCTTGCCATATTAGTGATCATATTGAATGTATATATGGCTGTTTTTCACTTAGCATTATTTTAAATTCATTTGGTAGTAGCTGCAAAATACTTATTCAACATTTAAGCCTGTTTTCAGGCTTCAATTTTGCTTTTGAAATAAGGTATTAGCGAGGCATGGTGGTGTGCACTTGTGGTCTCAGCTATTTGGGAGGCTGAGGTGGGAGGATTGTTAGAGCTCAGAAGTTCAAGTGCAGTGAGCTATGATAATACCACTGCATTCCCACGTAGGCAACACAGCGAGGCCCTGTCTTTAAAAAATAAAAAAAAAATAAGGCATTAGTGAATATCTCTCTAGAGCTTTTCCGTTTTTCAGATAATTTCTTGAGCTGTAGCTTTCAGGAAAGTGGAATTAATGGGTCAGAGGGCCCTGATATTCTGAAGGTCCTCACTGATAATATGTGAAAATAGTTCTTCCCTCGACTTTGACCAACAACCAGTTTAATTTGCTGGACCGAAAGTGGAATGGCATTTTAATTGGAATTTTAAAAAATACTATGCTGTTGAATATTTTCCCATATATTTATATCAGTTCTTCTGTTTATTCTTTGATCCTATCCTTTGATCACTATATTTGAATAGTGCTCTTTACCTATTGCAGTTGCCAAATCTTTGTTATACTTGCAAATATTATTGCAGATACTGTTCCCAATTTGTTGTGTGCATATTAATTTTCAACACTGAACAGTTTTCAACACTGAGCCTTCTCTAAAGGCTTTAAGTAAATTAAGATGGGAGATTAGGAAAAAGTAGGAAGGAAATGTGTCTTTTAGTGAAATGATTTTGCATTCTTTGGACATTATCTCTTCAAATAATATCTGTTTATTTCTAAAAATGTCATGGTTGGAAAAATTAGCAGTGAATTGTTCTTCACTGATTTCATGAAGTGTCTTTGTCCTCATACAGTTTATTGTTCTATCCCAAAGCCAAAATACTTGCTTGAAAATGGGAAAATTTTCCAGTTGTAAGGATGTTTATATACTTGATGCCAAATATCTGGATGATTACACATATTTAAATGTTGAACATAATGGAGGCGTGTTTATTTATATTTTTTGAAGAGTAATATGCTGTAGAATGCAGTTTATTAACTCTAGAATATCATATTATTTAACATGTAGTTTTTAAATATATATTTATTTCCAGCCTTTCACTTTTAAATTATATTGATCAAATTAGCCAAATTAAATAATTTTGGCTACTTTGAGAGGAAGCAAGCCAGTTGACACTTTTATTAGCATCGTAGGATTTTAGAACTTTCAGGGATCTTAGTATGATATTTTGTAATGTTCATTTTAAGTAGATGAGATACTGGGATTGGGGGATAGAAAGCTTGTTGGGACTGGAATCAGTGTCTGGTTTGTGTAGTTTTTTTGCAACCTGTCATACTGTTGGGGTTTTTGAGTTCTGGGAGTTTAGTTTTCAAATGACAGAACTACTTAATGGAATTCACTTGAATCTGTGATATTTTTCATCCTATTAGGATAAATATAAAAATTAATCTATATGTAATAAAAATAAATTTTAGGACATCTGGTAATTAGTTTGCATTTTTCTTTTTAAAATGTATATTTCAGCCTGAAAAAATTAAACAAACATGTTTTCTTATTATTCAAGAGATGACCTAATTAGATGTCTCTTAATTTTTTTTTTCTTTTGGAAATTATGCTTATAATGACAGTGTAAGATGAAATAAAAAGATAACAAACGTGAAAAAAATAAATAAAATCTATATTTCAAAACTGTAGCTTTATCTGTGCCTAGATTGTTGCAGAATTCATCATAAACTTCAGCATTATGTTCTTGTTTTTAATTGTGTAATTTATTATCGTCTTTATCTTCAAAACTCAGAAGACAAATAAGATGATCCAGGTGCTGCAGAATCTTGCACCTCAAATTGTAATTTAGGTCCTTAAAAAATATTTAGGACATTAAAGTACTCTTTGGAGAAAATACTGACTTTCTGGCAAGAATGCATGTAACTTTGTGAATGTGTTCTCTAAATCTTTTCTCTTTAGATTTTGAATCCACTTGTTTCCAAGGCACAACTTTCCCAAACAGTTCAGTCTCGTTTGGTTAGTTGTAAAATTTTGGGAAAACTGACCAACAAATTTGATGCCCATATGTGAGTATTTGCATATAATTTTTGTCTGTTTGTTAAACTGATTTAAATGTGTAATGACCATATGAGTAACACTTACATTTGTATTATTACATACTGCATACAGGCTTATTTTAACCAAGCAGCTTTAACTTTGCAGGATCTTCAGATAGAAGTCTACTTGTTTAGATGCATTTCTTCACACTCCCATGATTTTTTGAACTTGATAAAGTTTACTGTTTTCCTTTTTTTTTTTTTGGAGTTGGAGTCTCACTCTGTCGCCCAGATTGGAGTGCAGTGGCCGCTCCTGGCCACCGCAGCCTCGACTTGCTGTGCTCTGGCGATCCTTCTGCCTCAGCCTTCCAAGTAACCGGAATTACAGGCATGCACTACCATGCCCGGCTGATTTTTTGATTTATTGTAGAGGTGAGGTCTCGCTGCCCAGGCAGGTCTCGAACCCGCAGGCTCAGGCCATCCACTCACCTCAGCCTCCCAAAGGCGTGGGATTACAGGCTGAGCCACCGAGCCCGGCTTACTGTTTTCCTTTTTATCTTAGTCTTCCCCATCCCATACCGAGTGTACTTTTGAGATGAAATGGCATTATCTTACACACTTCCAAAATTGGTAAACATAGCATAAAATAAGATTTCTGATTTCTTACATTATTGTTACAATTTTATTTTGAACAATGTCTCTTACTTGTTTTGAGGTTTTAGCATGTCTAGGATGTATGTACTACTCTTTGCCCAGATGACGAATACCAAGTGGAAAGAATGAAATGTCATGTAATTAGGACACAAGTAGACTATTCAGCTGAAGAGTCTTTAGCTGATGTTTACTGGAAGCGGACATTTTACTGCAGCAGCATTTTATCTTGGCTGTCGACGTTTAACTGCCAATCCAGAATTAGCCATTATTCTAAAAAGATCCCGTCTATACCTAACTTAAAAGTAGCCACTGATAACATCCAAATTGAATAACCTACATTGTATGCGATAATGTTTTTTATGAAAGTGTATTTGTTGTTATTAAGGTAAGGTAAGATTTTAATGATAATTGCTTGAAAATAGTAATTATTCTGATGCACTCATCCACTTGCATCTTTGTTTCCTTCCCTCCCTCAGCATTAAAAGAGAAATACTTCCCCTGGTAAAATCACTCTGTCAAGATGTAGAATATGAAGTGCGATCTTGTATGTGCCGGCAACTAGAAAATATAGCACAGGGCATTGGGTAGGTATACTTTCAATTCCATCGAAAGAATACACTTTACGCGATCTTTAAAAAGGGCCATAGCAAGGACCTCCCATGTGTCTGGATTAAGAGAGATAAAGGGACATATGTTTATCATGGTGATAAGCATTCAGTTAATGCTAATTTCCTGTTCACCTCCGTGAAACACCTGCTTCCAGGAAGGGAAGATGCGCCGTCATTAACCATGCTTGGATGTAGTTGCAGCGTTGCTTTTGACTCCTCATTCCTTGACTGTATTATCGGGTCATTTCAGAGGCCTTGCTCTTCTGTATCTGTGGGGGCTGGATTCCAGGGCCTCCCTCGGGTTCCCACATCGAAGGGTGCTCCAGGCCTGGACGGAAAGCTGTACTGTTTGCTTGTAACTTACTTGCATCCTCCCATATACTTTGAAGCATCCCTAGATACTTATCATGCCATGTAAATAGGTATTGTACTGCATTGTTTCGGAACGTTGATGAGGACAAAGTCTGTGCGTGTTCAGTACAAAGCAGCTTTTTGGTTAGTGTTTGTGTCCGTGGTTGGCCGGCTCCGTGAATGCAGAAGCCCTGGGCATGGGGACAGCACGGCTCTGCGGGGAGGCTTTCTGTGCCTCGCGCACCTAGGCTTCTCCTCTCTGCCTTGCTCCTAGTTGTTTGCGTGCGTGAGGCTCAGGAGGAGCGGCCTAGGGCAGCCATCAGAACACACTCGGGGGATGGTTGTGTGCGCTGTCCTGGGCCCACCTTGCCAAGCAGGTTGTAAGTATTGTGTTGGAAGCGTAACACAATGAACAAAATGAAAGGGTTATTAGTGGTGTTTCTTTTCATTGTTAATACCCGAGATAATTAAGTTGAATTTGCATCATTCTAACATGCTTTGTAATAAGTTCTCTGGGTAAGATTGAATGGAGATAACTTTTGACTGTAAATAGAGATTAAATTCTTTTTTTTTGAGTTAGGGCCTCATTCTTTTGTCCAGGGTGGCGTACAGTGGCACAGTCATGTCTCACTGTAGCCTCAAACTCTTGGGCTCAGGCAATGCTCCCTCCTCAGCTTCCCAGGTGGCTGGGACTGCAGACTCATGTGCCACCATGCCTGGCTAATTTTTTTATTTTTTGTAGAGGTGAAGTCTCGTTATGTTGCCTAGGCTGGTCTCAAACTCCTGTGCTCAAGCAGTGCTCCCGCCTCAGCCTCCCAAGTGCTGAGATTACAGGTGTGAGTCATCACAGCTGGCTGAAATTCTTTATCTTAATCTTTTAATAAGGTCAAGTATTTCAGTGAGTATACAAATATAATCCGAGCAAGATTTATATGAAATGCATTTTTACAACCTTTGAATATGCTTTGTCAAACAGATGCTCATTTGTGGCATCTGTCTGATGAATATTTGTGAACTGATAATGCTAGTGTCTGTTATCTGTATGATCTAGATTAATCTCTTAAAAACATTTCTCTGGCTCTCCGGTCGCTCCATTTCTTGGCTTTGAACTGTGCTGTCTAATATGGTAACCACTGGCCACATGTGGCTATTTAAGTTTAAATTAAGTAAAAGTAAAGAAAATCAAAACTTTGGTCTCTCAGTCATCCTACACTTTAATGCTCAGTAGCCACATGTGGCTACCCTGTTGGACGGCGCAGATTATAAACCTTCCCATCACTGAAGAAAGTTCTGCTTGACTGACAGCATCACCTTCAAGTCGTGGAGCTTTGCCCTGCATTTTGTTAGGGTTTCCACAGCTCTGAATGGCATTCTTGGACTCTGTAAATGCCTTATGTCAATTATGATTGATGCTGTCTCCCATCTATATCCAAGAAAGCGGACCACATCCTAAGCCTCTCTTTTATCAGTTTGTCTCTGCAATGACATCTTACCATGAGGAATAAGTAGAAACTAAGTGTTGAATAAGAACTATGTGTGACTGTATATAAATATTATTACATTCCCTACAAGCATTTACATTTTGTGTTATTCTTTTAGCAGAATTCTAGGATCATGGATCATCTTCTAGACAGAAATTAGTCTTGTGATGTTTTAGGTGAATAGAAAGATAACTTATGTCTGAAATCTAGATAAAAAGATTTTATTTGGGTTTCTACAGTTACTATTGATTAAGTTTTTCTAATTAGTCCAGATCATCGACTGCAGTTGCTTAAAAGTGAAAACTGTATTAAAATTTATAAAATTTCATATAAACTCCTAATTATTACAGTCTCTGTAGGTAGCAGTATTATACTGGGGGAAGTAGATTTTATTTTAAAATTACAGTTAACGTTTCCTTTTGTGTATGGAATGCTTTCCCAACCAGACTGCAGGGTCCTGAGAACAGGAGCAGTACCTTCGTGGTTTTTCACATTTTCTGCAGCACTGGCCTCATCGCTTGTTTTTAGTAAGGTCCTGCTACACATGCATTGATCGGATGTATTTTATTTTATTGTTTATTGTGCAGGACAGAACTTACCAAAAGTGTGGTGCTGCCTGAGTTAATAGAGCTCTCCAGAGATGAAGGCAGCAGTGTGCGACTTGCAGCTTTTGAGACGCTGGTTAACCTGCTGGACGTATTTGATACAGGTAAACCTTCACTTGGGCACATCTTGGCTTCTGAGAGTAGTGTTTCCCCATGTTTTGTAGTACTAGGACGGCGTAAATGCAGAGTTGGAATTTTTATGCCAGGTTGGATGGTAAGTGTTCAGCCTGCATTCTCTCTCTCTCTCTCTCTCTCTCTCTCTCTCTCTCTCTCTCTCTCATTCTTTCTCTCTCATTCTTTCTCTCTTGGTGTTTTCTCTGCCTCTAGTGTCTTATTCCTTTCTCCTCTGTGTTGCTATAACAGAATACCGGAGACCGGATACCTTCAGGATGTTTCTGGAGACTGGGAGTTTCAAGGGCGGGTGGCCTCAGCTGGCTGGCTTCTGCCAAAGGCCTTGGAGAAGCGGAGTGGAAGTGGGTTTGCAAAGGGAGAGAGAACAAAAGAGGCTGGCCTGCTCGATAACAAGCTTCTTTCCCAAGAGTAACCCCATCCCAGGTGGGCTCATCTGGTCTCTGAGAAAGAAAAGTCACCGGACACCACAGGGAAGTCACCAGTTCACCCAGGAGGGCGGAGCCAAATGGGTCCCCAACTCTGAAAGCTTCCGCCTCCCAACACTGGTACCCTGGGGCCAAGCCTCCCCGTGGATTTTGGTGGGGACAAGTCACATTCAAACTATAGTACATGGCCTGCAGGGTCAATATCTCTTTTCTCTCATCAAAATTTTACTGACTCGTGTTTAGGGCTAATAGTTTGACTCTGACACTTTCAACTAATGGATGTTGAGACAGATTCTGACAAAATCATTGTCTAAGTGAATTTCCTCTCTTGGATAATTTTTTTCTTATTTGGGATCTCCGTGTGTTGTCCAGGCTGGAGTAAAGTGGCATGCTCGTGGCCTACCATAGTCTTAAACTCCTGGGCTCTGGTGATCCTTCCCTTTCACGTGGGGCTACAGGTACATGCCACCATGCCTGGCTAATGTTTTGATTTTTTTTTGTAGAGACGAGGTCTTGCTATTTTGCAAGGGCTGGTCTCGAGCTCCCGGCTCAAAACCGTCCTCCAGCCTTGGCCTTCCAGAGTGCTGGGATTACAGGCATGAGCCACCATACCTGGCCAATAGTATTTTAGCACTGGCAATCTCACGGCCACAGAAAGACATTTGGGATGGGGTGTTTGAGTGGGAGGAGGCACGGAGGTGTCTCTTAGTGTTGTGTAAGTCTAGTTGCAAGGGCAGCGACTGCTCTGCTGCGTGTATGACTCGGCTGACGCTGGGCCTTAGTGTATCGGTAACAGTTGCCATTTTGGTAGTCCGTGGTCCTTGGGTGCCACGTTCAGTTCTGCAACTGTGGGCTTGCGTTTGCCGGGACTGCCCGCATGCCCACATTCTGTCTGAAGTGAGAGAGCCTCTTCAAGATGCCTGTAACATGGACAGTCACTGTGTGTGGATTTTGCAGAGCAGTTGTAACTAAGCATTCAAAATCAAGCCAAAATCGAACCGGGAGGGCAGAAACTGCCGGCCTGCCGAGTGCGCGAACGACTCTTCTTGCTGCTCTCAGCGGGGCCCCTCCGACTCCGGCAGAGACCTCGGTGTTGTCCTCCATCTCTCCCCTCCGCCCACACTCTCGCCCAGTCTGGGCCTGCTTGTGTCCGCGGCTCCTTCCTGCCGTCCTGCCATCCTCCCGTCCTTCCTGCAGCGATGCTCTGGTCCCGCTGACGTGGTGCTCGCTCCCCCCCATGCCTCCAGCCCTCCACGCGCTTGCTCTCTCCCTGTTGTTCTCTTCCCTCTGTTTTTCTTCCAGCCGTCTTCGTCTGCTTTCGTGCCCAGTTTTCAGATGGAGTTTTTTCTCTGAGTTGTTTCCAAATCTCCCATATCAGGGGTTGGCAAACTATGGCTTTTGGGTCAAATCTGGCCTGCCACCTCTTTTGTAAATCAAGTGTGTTGAAGCAGAGCCGTGATCATTTGTTCGTATCTTGTCTGTGGCTGTTTTTGTGCTGTAGGGACAGACAGCCTGAAAAGCCTAGACCATTTGCAAAAAAGATTGTAAATACCTGCCTTATACCAACTATTAAAACAGCAATCACAGTATCGTTTGATATTTTTTGGGATGGCATCTTTGCTGGTTAGAGTTTCTCGAGTTCAGAGACCACTGTTTATTCTTCTTTCTACTTCTGTTTTGTTATAATGGTGGTTTTATCAGAAGTCCAAGAAATGTTAAATGACCATTATTTAGTAAAAACAGATATGATACTGAAATGCTATAATAGTACTAATAATATTGATAAACCTGCTACAGCACTTTATTTACTTGATATTATCAGTAAATAAACTAGTAATTTATTTCTGAAAACTTAAGCAAACTGGGAAATTTGGAAAGTATTTAAAATTGAGACTTAAATATTGCCAGTATATCAGACTCTTATGGCTTAAGCAGACGTACTCATGGACTCAATTAACTTTTTAAAGAGGAGTCACCCAAGAAGTAAAAATGATGAAATTCGGTACTCAGAGCATATTATAAGCCAAGTTAATTTTAGTAAAAAATGCAATGGAAAAATGGGCTTAGCGGCCTCACGGTGGGGGACACTGTAAAGGGGAAAGAGCAGGCTTCCCGTGCCTGCTGCTCCTCTGTTTATTAATGGTGTCGGGCTGCTTTTAGTTACTCAGATTCAGAACCTCAGCCATCCTAACTCTTTGGTTTGCAATCCTGCTTCATATTCTATTTCCAGTGGTCCACAGGAAGTGGAGACCCCTTAGCCTGACATTCAAATTTGTTTTTTTCCCTTTCCTTTTCTTTTTTTTTTTTTTTTTTGAGTCAGAGTCTCACTCTGTCACTCAGACTGGAGTGCTGGGCTGGGGCATGCTCTCGCCACCACAGCCTTCTACCTGCTGGGCTCAGATGATCCTTCTGCCTCAGCCTTCCAAGTAGCTGGAGCCACAGGTGCGCGCTCTCACGCCTGGCTAATTTTTAAAAATTTTTTAATTGTAGGGACGAAGTCTCACCGAGTTGTCCAGGCTGGTCTTGAATCCCTGAGCTCAGGCATCCTCTCGCTTCCACCTCCACTGGCGTGAGCCACTGCACTGGCCTGACATTCAAGGTTTTTCCCTCTTATCTCTTCTTCACCACTTACATCATCATCACTGTTGTCAGTATTTTCTAATACTCTGAGGCTAACTTAGTATTTTTTTTCCTGGAACTTGGTTGTGTTTCTACATGTGCAGTTTAGGCAACCATCTAAAGTATGTATTGTTTTGTTTTGTTTTTCAGATGACAGAAGTCAAACTATACTTCCATTAGTGAAATCATTCTGTGAAAAATCTTTCAAAGCAGACGAATCCATTCTTATTTCTTTATCTTTCCATTTAGGAAAACTATGCCATGGACTGTATGGTATGCTATATCCTAAGAATTTCAAGATAATTTTTCCTTTTTCCTTCTGCCTTGGCCATTAAACTTCGACTCTTTAGTTGTAAAACCTATCTTTTAAGTGTATAAAATCTTATGAGATCTTAGAATTTCAATAACATAATTTGGAGCACATTTAGGAATAGCTTTTTCATTTTAGGAGTAGAATCTATTTCATAGAACAGTGGCAGAGTAAGCATAGCGCTTTAAATTTCTGAATATGTTACATTTACTTATTAGTTGGCATGTAATAATAGAAGCTCAGGGATATTAACGATTGGTGTGTAGTAAGTATACCTCTATTAGCCATTTGTTAAATCATTTTGTCATGTGAAAAGTTCAGCTTAGGATGTACAATAATCCCACAACTCTTGGCATTTTGAACATGTTACTTAGCTCTTAGCTTACTATAATAATGTGAGAATTAAGTTATAAGTGTCTAGCTTATTAACACATTTTCTACATGTGGATTGTAGGCATTTAGTAAACTGTTGAACTGTTTTAGCTTTTAATAATGGATTATGAATTCCTAGCTCCTTGAGATAGTTAATGAATGTGGAACCATTTCATTGATCAAAAGTACTTTGAATTTACTTGAGTGTCTTTCAGATTCGATTTTTTGAGCTTCTTCCTTGCAAACGCATTCATGAGCACACACACATGTTTTCTGCAGACTGTTTTAGGATACTTACTATAAGTAAATACCAGTATGCATAAATGACCACAGTGTTGTTATTTTAGTGACTTGTTAGTGATCTAAGTATTTGGTTCCAGTGATGTTTTAATTATACTTTGGTTTTTTGATTTTTGTCTTCAATTGAAATGTTGAGCATAGGTTTTACTTTTTTTTAAGGAATTTTTACTCCAGACCAACACTTGAGATTTTTGGAGTTTTATAAAAAACTTTGTACATTGGGTTTGCAACAAGAAAATGGACACAATGATAACCAGATTCCTCCCCAAATCCTAGAGCAGGAGAAGAAATATATTTCAGTACGGAAGAACTGTGCTTATAACTTTCCGGTAATAAATACATATTTACATTTACTGAATATCTGATTCTAACTGTAAAATATGTGAATAGATAACTTTAAAAATATTGCCATGTTTGACATTTGCTTCTTAGAATTATGTCTGGCATACATAGTAGGTATTGAGTAAACATTGTGAAATTTTTATTTTTCTCTGTTTATAAATTAGAATTACGTGCATGCATTTAGGCCTTCCAAATATTATTTCTAATTCAATTACAATTCAGGCTAGGCGCAGTGGCTCAAGTCGGTAATCCTAGCACTTCGAAAAGCGAAGGCGAGAGGATTGCCTAAGCTCAGGGGCTCGAGACCAGCCTGGGCAATTTGGTGAGACCTTGTCTCTACAATAAATAAACAAATAAGCCAGGCGTGAGTAGTTTCAGCTACTTGGAAAGCTGAGGCAGAAGGATCGCCTGAGCCCAGCAGGTTGAGGCTGCAGTGGCCGGGAGCAGCCACTGTACTCCAGTCTGGGCGACAGAGTGAGACTCCAACTCAAAAAAAATTTTTTTTTTTTTACAAAAAATTTGCTTACATTGAAATCAGAGAACATGATTTCAAGTAAGCAAATTGATGACAACATCGGGTATTGATGTATGATTTTTTTCTCCTTCCCACTCATCTCTCCCTTTCAACTCTTCCAGGCCATGATTGTTTTTGTGGATCCTAAAAACTTCCACCTGGAGCTGTATCCCACCTTCTTCTGCCTTTGTCATGACCCTGAAGTTCCAGTCCGATACACAATTGCTATTTGCTTTTACGAAGTAAGTCTGAAGAGTCGATACCACTTCACCTTTGTGGTTAATCCTGCCTGTGCGTGCTAGATGATGTTTTGGTATTTTGTCTCTTCTGGCTTATAGATTTATTATAAGACACAGACGTCATATCTTCTGAGGGTTCTAGTTTTAAATCTTGTTTTAAAGTTTCCATATTTTTCTTTCTTTAGTGTGTTTGCAGAATCCATTTCAATAAATGCATTATGTTCGTGCATTCTTGTAATAACATGCTCATTTGGCATACGAATTGCCAGTTGTGCTGAATATGAGCTGCAGATTTGGAAGTAAAACCGTTTTTGCGTGCTTTACTGTATTTACACTTAACTTTGCACCTAAACTTAAGCTCTTGAGAACAAATGGAAACTTGAGACACGTTATTGGTTTTTCCTACCAATGTAGATTCTGCTATTATAACTCTCCATAAATTAAGAGCAAAAGTGAATTTAAACTTTTATGGTGAACATAACTAACTTTTTAGCCCTTGAATTTGAAATTTGGAGCTTGTTTCTTGGATGATCGCAGGAAGCATATGTATGTTGTTATTGCGATAAATGTGTGTGAGCTATAACGTGTCACCCAGGGTTTCGGCTTCTTCCCTGCACTGTGTTCCTGCGTTGAAGAGCACTGCTAGCTGGGCCAGAGGTATGCAGGGCACCCGTGGCAGCACTGTACGTGTTACTTAAGATTCTTTTGGCAACTGATGGTAGTCTTGACTTCTTTAAAGGACATTTTTTTCTGGTATGAATGAAATGTATATTTATTGTACAAAATCTAGGAAATATTCCCGTTACGTTGCGGGATCATTACTTAAAATATTTCTAGTGTTGCACAATTATATCATCTTTGTAAATATACCTGTAGAAATCTGCGTTTGGGGTGGGCTCGATGGCTCAGGCTGTCATCCCAGCATGTTGAGAGGCCGAGGCACATGGATTGCCTGAGCCCGCGGGTTGGAGACCAGCCTGGGCAACTTGGTGAGACCGTGTCTCTACAATAAATCAAAAACCAGCCGGATGTGGTAGTGTGTCCCTATAGTTCGGGCTCCTTGGAAGGCTGAGGCGGAAAGATCACTGGAGTCCAGCAGGTCGAGACTGGGCTGGTTGTGAGTGTGCCACTGCACTCCAGCCTGGCGACGGAGTGAGACTCCAACTAAAAAAAAAAAAAGAAATCTCCTTTTGGACGAGAGGACAGGGCACAGGACACTGGCCAGCTGAGCAGCATATTCACCTCCCAGAGGCCTCCCGCGGTCACTTGGGCTTGGTTACTATGTGCGTGTGTGTGTGTTAGGTCTGGTCTCCAGAGAGAGGGCACTGCACAAGGTTGGAGTCCAAGAGTGCTGTATTTATGCAGCATTGGATTCCTGTGTATGTTTATTCCAGTCCATCACTTTCATATTTCGTTTTTATGCTTTAGAGTAGATATAATTCAGCACCGTGTAAGTATGGTATGCATATGGAAATGTATAAGAGAATACAAAATGATTTTGTCAGTTGGTGATCATTGAACTGCTTGTTTCCTGGGTGGCCAGTTTCCGTGTTCTCACAGTCAGGTCATGTAGGTAGACTGGGAATGATATTTATTCCATACAATGAAAGATTAGTATGGGTTTTTCCTTTTAAGTAATGAAAATCCACTGGGGGATTTGAATTTTTCTAACAGTGTTAATGTTAGATTCTGATAATTGCTGTATTATATCCTGCATTTATTCTTATTTTTCAGACAAATATTATTTTGAAAATATTTTCAATAAGTCAAAAACGATCTTGTTAGAGCAAAATATTTTAAAACACTTTCGTTATCCAGGAACTTTCTTTTTTTCCAAATAAAACTTTACTCAAGTTCAGTATGTTTCAAAAGAAAATGAAGTAGAAACCAGTGAATTCACCATTGTAGACTCTGAGTTTGTCTGTGGGGAGGGGAGAATGCTTGTTTACAAGGGGAACTGGGTTATTCCGGACTCTTCCGACTCCTCTCACGCTGCTTAAAGTCTTGGATGAGCAAAGGAGAGTGCTTGGCCCCTCAGGAGTTACTCCCACCCTGGCGTCTCCTGGGGAAGCGCTGAGCCGGTGTGAGGACTAGCGTGCCTGGGGCACCCGCAAGGCCCTGCTGGCAGTTCGAGTCCTGGGGACGTCCTTGGGGTCCCGCTGGGTTGGTGTGAAAGGGAAGGCCGTGGGGAACGCCAGCTCTCTGCACTTCCTCACCCCTGGGCTGCTTTCCCGCCCTCAGGTGTCCATCCCCTCTAGCCTGTGAGCAAGCAGGCTAAAAAGCCAGTAATGAATGCAACTGATTCTTCTAGAATCTAATTTTGTGTTTGTGTCAAGGCCTGGATTTTAGTTTAGAAGTGTCCAACAATGGTGTATTTTTAAAAATTATTAATTTTAACTTGTATCTGTCTAGTAGTCTCAGTTCTGAGATACGTTGTTACTACATTTTAGGTGTCTAAGCTTCTGAATTCTGGAGTATATTTAATACATAAAGAACTAATAACATTATTACAAGACGAATCACTGGAGGTAATGTTTTCTTACTCTTTGGTTTTTCGTTCTTTTATGTTAAGGCTAAATATATCAGTGCCCTTTCCCCTGCTTCTTGGGAATTATGTGAACTCTTTCAGCTGACTAGCCCCAAAAACTTCAAATTGGTGTACCATTATATCATGGATAGGAAATTAGGAGCATCTTTAAGCATTAGGTTTTAAAATGTGCTCAGTTAAAAAATTTAGCATGTTTATGTTTATTAAGAAAAGTTTAGGAAGTACTGAAAAGTAGACAGATAATAGTACCTTTTTCCATCACTGCTATTATTTTCTGTATTCTTCCATTTTCTACTTATCTATATAGCAGTTATTCTGTTTGTTCTATTTAAAGGTTTTTATTTTGTACAGTTGTAATCATATATTTTACGTGTTTTTTCCTCTTAGTATTGTTTGAGGAGTATTTTACCATCTAGTATGTACTCGTGAAGACTTTGAAATAGTTTGACACAGCATTAGGTCTATCCCAGACACCTAAGTGACTACTAGCTTGCCAAAGTTCAGTTTGTCAATATTTTGATATAACTGAGGATATGGTCTGATTTGAACTACCATTAAAAATCGGGAAGCAGTTTTTGAGCATGTTAGCTTCGTAGAAGTGGCTGGCTAATCCTCAGACTGTTTGAATATTGTCAAGAGGCAAGTACACTGATTTCAAAACGTAATCAAGGCAGATGATTATGTTTGTAAGACTTTGCAGCACAAAGATGGCAGAATAAGAAAATAGAAAGCCAGAAATATTGTTTGGTTATAAAAAAACACTGTTACTGGAATTGGCATGTGGCATTAAATAAACTAGAAAGATACCATAATCACTGTGTGATTCATACATATCTCTTTTAAAAGGTACTAGATGCTCTTATAGATCATCTTCCAGAAATCTTGGAACTTATGTCTACTGGTGGAGAAAGCAGTGTTCAAGAAAATAAGGTAACTTCCATCTCCCAAAAATGTTTCTGACCTTTGTAAATATAAGCTACTCTGCCAGGCCTTTGTGAGGAAGCGGTGAAAGAATGTTTAGAAAATATTTACAATGGTACATGGCAGCAGTTAAAGTCTGCTGGGGTTGGAGCAGCTCGAGTTTCCTCTACAGTTTTTGTTTTTTTTTTTTTTGAGTTGGAATCTCACTCTGTCACCCAGGCTGGAGTGCAGTGGCACACTGCTCATGGCCACTGCTGCCTCAACCTGCTGGGCTCCGGCGATCCTTCTGCCTCTCCCTCCAAGTACCTGGAACTACAGGCATGTGCCACCATGCCCGGCTAATTTTTGATTTATTGTAGGGATGAGGACTCGCTAAGTTGCCCGGGCTGGTCTTGAACCCACAGGCTCCGGCAATCCTCTCGCCTTGGCCTCTCAACGTGTTGGGGTTATAGATGTGAGCCACCGCGCCTGGCCTTTCTCTACAATTTCTACATTGACACTTCTGGCATTACCTTGATTTTTATTTTTTGCCTTTGGTGTTTATATCCATATTTTTGTTTTCATTAGCATTAATTATTGTTCTAAGAATAGCAAATAGCAAGGACAAAGGGTAGGAATTTAGAAGGTCAAAGCTTCCTGACAGTGATGATATATAACACATTTTGCTTCGGTTGGAAGAGTTGCCGTGGCTGTCAGTCTGACAGGAAGAATGACGAGTCTTCGTCTCTGTTTCAAATTTCGGTTTTTGGGAACTGTCCATTTTTACTTACGGATTTGCAAAAGGAGTATTTTATTTCACCAGATAATTATCTTCCTGTGGCAACTGAGTTGCCTCCTACACTCGGAAATGACGAGCGTGCTCCTCTTCAGTGTGTGATGAGACTGAATAATTTTACTGAGTTCTGCAGTAAATTTAGCTGTAATTGATCCTCGTGGTGTTTCTTTCCAGTTATCCTCTCTGCCCGACTTGATTCCCGCACTCACAGCGGCTGAACAGCGAGCTGCAGCCTCTTTAAAATGGAGAACTCACGAGAAGCTGCTACAGAAATATGCCTGTCTGCCACACGTTATTTCAAGCGATCAGATTTATTATCGTTTCTTACAAAGAATGTTCACAATCGTGATGACAAACGTGAGCTCAGTATCTTCCGTCTTACTCTTTGGAACAGGCTCGCCACGTCTCAGAATGGCAGAGCAGACTCAGCCCCTGCCCTTCTGCCCAGAGCGCTGTCGCCTTCCCGGTCCCTAGCGGGAACGCAGGGCTCCTTTGTTCCTCCCCGCTCTCCCCACGTGTCTTCTGCCTAGCTGGAGAGAGGTGTGAGCGGGGTGCTTGCCCTTGCCCTTGCCCAGGGTTTGTACACTGCTGGGAGAGGACAAGCAGCCTCACCACACCCTTGGTGGAGCTCCTCTTCCGAGGGAGGGTGCGGGGCTCAGTGGTCTCCACGCAGAAGACCTTGGCCCTGAGCTCACCTTGGAGGCAGCCACAGCCCCAGTCGTGCTGTTTTGCCGCAGCGTCCTTTAAGCTGCTTTTAGTCGTCTGGCTGCTTTTGTAGGGCCTGAAGGGCGGCTGTGGACCCCTGAAGTGGATGCCAGAACATGGATGCCCTGCTGTTGATAACCCTGTAACTGGGGTCAAAAAGAAAAAAAAAAGACTCCTTTTCCCAAACGAGGTGGTGCTCAGACCTTCCCATAAAACTGCTTGCCTACTTTTTTCACAAAAAATTTCCAGCGAATTGTTTAATTGACAGTTAATGTGACATTTGATATTACTCTGTTATTTACGACTTAAGGAAAAAAGTAATAGGCCTGCATTTTGTTAACTAGACCCCTGTGTGTGTATTTCACACATCAAAGGAAAACCGAGGGCTTGGAAGTGATGTCGTGTATGTGACCATCGTAAAAAGTCAGTTTGCCAACCATAATTTCTTGCCAGTTCTCCACTTTATAGCATGAATGTACCACATAGGACGTTTCACATAGATTTGAGCAGGTTTGTTAATTGTGTTCAGCAACTCCTTACCTGGGCGCCTACTACGTGTCAGGCACTGTTCTCAGAGCTGTGGGCGTAGGAGAGACAAAACGCATGGCGTGCTGCTCAAACGGAGCTGGCGTTGTAAAGTGGTGGTGGTGAGAGATGATTGGTGCTTCACTAGTAGCAAGTGCATGTGTTAACAAGGGTGGTTCGTGCTGGGAAGTTGGGTCTCCATTGTTGGTTTCAGTGTACTTACGTAGAGGGCATGTTTGTGTTTCGGAAGTTAAGAATACATCATTTAAAAAAAATCTTCTTAGCGTCTCTTATCAGGAAAGAGAAATGATTTATAATATAGAAAGTAGACAGCTACTTTTTAGCCAGAGAGGTTTGCTTTACTGTTTTCTTTTACAAGGAGCTAATTTCACACTTTAAAGGAAATACATGATTATTGCAGCACATTTTCCATGCATAGATCAGACACATACTAAAAAAAGGTTTATATTTTTAGTTCTGTGCCTAATGGTCAGATTCACTGATTCAAAAAAACTCACTGGGTGCTTACTGTGTGCCCTGCACACAGTAGTGTGCAGTAGTGAACAAAATAGGCAAAGGACCTGTCTTCAAAGAACTTACATTCTATTGGGAACGTTTAACAGAATTAACCGTTATTCTGTAATATCCAGTTCATGTTAAAATTCTGCCTGTTATCCCCCAAATGCATTTTACAGTTGTTTTATTCCCTGTAGGATCCAGTTCAGATGGATCAACAAGCTCATATAGCATGTCAGGCATGCAGAGTGCAGCGAAGAACCGTAAAGCAGGGTTGGGGAAAGAGTGGCAGAGGGTGGCGGGGCGCCCTGGTGGACACAGCGGCCAGGATCGGTGTGCTCCGTGTGGAGGGCTGACACAGTGAGAGCGTCTGAAGGACGGGCAGTCCAGGCAGCCGGGACCGCGAGTGCCAAGTGCGGATCTGCTTGGGTGGTGGGAGCAGCCAGTGAGGTGAGCGTGGAGTGGCCTGAGACGCGGCAGCGGCTGGGTCCCCAGCACTCTAGGCTGTGTTCTCGGAGACAAGAAAATCTGCAGAAGGTTTTGAGCCCAGGAATGACCGAAGCCTTTTTTCTTTTTTACTTTTGTTAGGGAAAAGATTTAAAGGGACAGAAAAACATGTAAAATATAAAGAGCCTCCGTAACCCATGCCCTCGATGTGACAGTTAATATTTCGCGATGTATTTGCTTTCTGTTGCATTGTGCCAAGTAATTTCAAGTTGCGCACTGTATATGGTTATATTTTATTTCCAAACCATTGGGTATTTGTCCCTAAAAGGACATCTGCCTATATAATCACAATACAGTTATTGCACTTAATAAAGGTCAGTTGTTCTTTAATGTCATTTAATATTCAGCCTGTTTAAAATTTGTGCTAATTATTCCCCACATGCGTCTTGCAGTTGTTTTATTCCACGCAAAGTCCAGCGAGGATCTTGCTTTTGGTTGTTGTGTCTCCTAGTTTTCTTTTAGTTCAGAAGTTTTCCTGCTCCCCCCTTATGACCTTAGATTGCACAGAGAGCAGACCTTTGTCCCGCAGAATATCCCTGTTCCAACTCTCTGCTGTCAGATTGTTCCTTCGTGGTGTTGGCTTGCTCATCTGTTCTCCATGTTGTTTCTTGTAACCTGGAAGTTAGATCTGAGGACTTGCTGAGACTCAGGTTAGCCGTTCTTGGCAAGAATACTTCATGAGTGCTGCTGTGTGCTTTATCTTACTTCCTGTCCGGACACTTGTCCCACTGCACGTGAGCAGAGAGCGGCTGGGCGGGTGGCGACAGCCCTGCCGGTCTGCCACCCTCTGATGCCTTGCCTTTATGGTCCGCTCTGCAGTCTGCAGCTGCCGCTTTGGCCCCTGAAGACCCAGTATCCCATCAGCCTGCACCCGTTAGTTTTAGCACCCAGAGGACCCTCACTTGAATTCGTCGCTTCATTAGGACTCGTAAAAGAATGACTTTTAAAAACTCTGCCGTTTTTAAATTGGATTACCCTGAACTACATTTCCTGACGTAAAGACAGGGTTCACAGTTCTTTCCCTTGAATGGTCCATTTCAGAGCTAGGAGCTCCTTCAGTGGTGACAAATAAGCCTTGTTTTTAATTTTGTCTCTCTTTTTAGACTCTTCTAAAGCGTTAAATGATGTTTTAGTTCATTGTAGTCACTATTCCTTGTGCGCAAATTCTCTCACTTTTTCAGGCTGGCTTTTACGTGCCATTGACCTGATTATATTTATTTTTGCTTTCTGACCCCAAAGAACACTTACCTTATTACTGTAAGGTATAATATGTATTATGTATGAGGTATAAAATAGACATTTTCAGATGGCTAATATGTATGCATTTTAAATTCTATCAGAATATACATATGAAAGAAAAGAATAACATGCTTTTATTTAGTTTACCATTTATCTAAAGTTCATTTTTCTTAAGCCCAGTCATGTTTCCGTTTATGTATGTTTCTTAAATTTTCTTTTTAAAATCAGGCAGATATTCTATTTTTGTGTTCAACAGGTTGAAAACATCATACAGACTGTACCCAATAGAATGAAAATAGCTGCTATAAATTATGAGAGGCAGTAGCAAGCAGTACTATCTCAGCACTATAAAGTTTCATTCTACTTGAATTTCAAGGATCCCTATAAGAATAGTCTGAGCCTTTAGTAATTGAATATTGTATTTATATGTAATTTATATGTAAGTCAAGATGTTGGACATGAATTTACACTTGACACAATGTGACTGGTTGAGAGATTTTTCTCTAATACATTGTTTGATCCCAATCGCAGTGAAGAAAAATGGGTGCATTCATTTAGAATTAAGCTTCTGCCCAGCGGTGTGACAGAAATTCAGAGGACAAAGGGGTTTGAGATCCTATTAAGAGAGATTGACATGTTGCCCTTTCGAGTCTAAGCTTTATCTGTATCATGGCCCAGAGATCTCGGTGAATGACATTGAGGTTGAAGAGAGCTAGAGTTACGCCAGAAGGATTGAAGAGTATTCCTGACCACAGGATCTCAAAATTCATATTTTATCAGTGGTGCGATTTTGAGGCTATACCTGGCACATGGCATGTTCTAGCCAATGTTTGTTGAATGAAGTCCAGGGTACGGCTAAAGGAAGAGGTGGCAGAGGCATATTAGATCACTTGAGTTAAGGTGGCAAGGAAATGAGAGCCAGGGCTGGCTGATGCGGACGTGCCTGTGCCTAAGGAAACTGGCCTTGTCACGTGATGCTTTAGTTGATTTGCCTGAGTGACGTTAGCCTTCAGTTGTGAAGACGCGCCCAGGAGGATATACGTTTATTGAGCTGAGAGCAGTAAACCCTCCTTTGACTTTTAGCCAATAACTTAACATTGCTTTGAGCGGACCAGATTATCCAGGATATATAATATTGTCGAGTGTAATTGTTGTCTTCTTTGTTTCTTTAAGAATGTCTTACCTGTTCAAAAGGCAGCCTCACGAACACTGTGCGTTTTTCTACGTTATAATCGAAAGCAAGAGCAGAGACATGAGGTCATTCAAAAATTAATTGAACGTAAGTAATCATTATCTTTTATTTAAAAAAGAAAGTAAGCAAACTGTAGTTAGATATACAACTTATGTGTCATTCTATCTTGAGTAATTATGCTGACGTTGGTAGATATCGGTTGTGTGCTTTTGTGTTTTGAAGGTTAATTTTTGGTTTTTAGACATCTTTATGGCAGGGTTACATCTGTCGTGGATGAAAGTAATAATGACTCTGAGCCTTCGTTTGTTAGATTCTGCGTCTGAGAGATTAGAATGCATCCATTCCCGTTGAAAGCCCACTGATGAAATTGCATTTGGAACTACAGTATAAACAGGATATCCCCTAATCCAGTCATGCATTTCATGGTCTTATTGTCAGTAGTCTCACAGCTAGCTGAACGTCGGTAGGTAGGGCTTTTGCCTTGCCTGGCGTTCATAGTGCATCTGAATGTGAGGCTCATGAGCCATGGTGGTTTACAGTGTCTTAAGAAACTAAGTCAGTTTGCAGGTGTGAATTTATTTCAGTTTGTTAAGAACTGGTCAGAAATCTTCGATTAAAGTACTAATTCTAGAAAGAGTTGCACACACCTGTATATACTTAGTACATTTGTTAATTATTATATACTTGCTTTGACCGTCATGTTTTAATGTTCTGGTTAAGCTTTATGTGTTATCCAGCATAGGCAGGTCATGGGATTTTTGTGGCTGTTGGAGTTTACCATTTTATGTGTGGATCACCACTTTTCAAAAAATTAGAGTACTTGTATAACATTTTATTTAAGAAAAATGGTGCTCGGTGTAGTTTAGTCTTTCTTTTTGTGGTCTGTTTCAATTCAGTTTTCATTTTTCAATGGCAGGATTTTACATTTAGAATAGTTGCATTTTGAAAGAAGATTCTATTTTGTTTTGAATATTGAGTTTAATTTTTGAGCATTTATGTGCAAAGGAGAAAATTGACCTTTACATTTGACCTGAATTATTGTCGGTCATACTGTTGACCGACAATAGGCGGTCTTTATCCACTTCAAGTCATGTTTAAGGAAACAGGAGGAAGAAAGCAGTTTTGAAGCTACACAAACCTGCGTTTGAATTCTAGCCCCGACATTGCCGACTGTGTGATTTCAACCTCTCTGAAACTCAGTATCCCATCTTTTGGGAGGGATAGGTAGACACAGCCTTCTGGGCTGCTTTTCAGGGTTACATGAGGTGGTGTGTGTTGTCAGCACGCAGTGGGTAATCAAGAAGTAGCAGATACAGCCGCTCTGTTGTTAATGATGTCTTTGGAATTGAATGCAGTGTTCAATAAAGCCTTTTGCTGACTTCCGAGGTGTCAGTTTTGGGGCCAACAAGTCGGGGGTATGTGGTATGTTTGTTTTCTCTGTGGCGTTTGCTGCCAAATTGTGGGTATGCAGACATTTGTCATGGTCTGCCACGTGTACTTTCACGTAGGAAAAATTAACTTACGATCGTTGTTGTTGTTCTTTCTAGAACTGGGCCAAGGAAAAAGTTACTGGAATAGACTGCGCTTTTTGGATACCTGTGAATTTATTATAGAGATCTTCTCCAAGGCCTTTTTCTGTAAATACTTCTTTCTGCCTGCTATTGAACTGACACACGATCCAGTAGCAAATGTGAGGTATGTTGCCAACTGAAGGGAAGAAACACTTGCAACATTGTGCTTCTTGTTTTCATCGACTGGGGCGAGCATATGCACGTCTTCTGTCAATTAAAAATTAAGTGAAGAATTTACATTTGCTTTGGAATTCTTAGTATTTATTGCCAATAAGTATCAATAGGACTTGGAAACATACTCTTTCAACACTGTTTCGAATCTCTTTATTGGATTGAGAACAGGAAGCAAAGCTAGGTCAACGAGCGTCTTCAGTCCTTTGGATACACACGTTGACGTCAGGAGAAGGTTCAGTAGATATTAATTTATCTATCATTAAAACTAAAGAAAAAATAGTCAGCAGCCTTGTCACTTCAAAGTTAGGTTGGTGAGCATCTCGGTTTTTAGAGGTCTATTCAGATAATTAGGACTTCTTTGAAGTCTCTGTCCTTCCTTCTGTGTTCAGCTGCCTTACATTTCTGAAATCCAATAAATTTAATTGGATTTGCTTAACTGTTAAGTTGGCTGGAACAGGCCTGGAAATGACTTACTTGGAAATTGTCCTTTTTTCTCTGCAAATAGGCATATCATTTTCTTTTTTAAAATTGGAAAATTTTGTACAGAGCAAAATTTACCACTGTATCCATTTTCAAGTGTGTAGTTCAGTGGCATTAAGTAATGCACATGGTTACTTAAGAGGTATTTGTGTACATTTGGTAATGGGATGAAAATAATTTTAAACCCTCAGATAGTAGATTTCTGTATTCTAAGCCCTGTGTCCATTATAAACTTGAACTCAGATATGTCAGAAAGAGAAACGTGTCAGAGTCAATTGGCTAAAGACCGAGCAAAACTCTAGCACTCCCTGTGGCATTTTCACCTGCTAGCCATGCTTCATTTTATGCACCTGAAAGATGCATGTGAGCATGTGTGAACAACTGACAGGACTTGTGGGCAGCATGCAAAACCCTGGAACTTCTTATGAGGAGGAGCTGGCAGGGCAGTCAGCTAGCCTGGATGAGCAGTCTTGCCGTGGAGATGGAGACCAAGAAGACTTGTAAAAAGCTAGTGACGATTCAGCCTGAGGATTCTATGAGCATCGTTTCCTGGAAGCAAATCTGGAGACTGGTTTTTGGTGTGTCTCACTTGCGCTTTGCAGATGAGAGGTGGGGTATCCCTGACACTTAGAGTGAAGTGAACCATTTGGTGCTGGTAATTCTTAGATTTTAGCTCTTCCTAAACAACCAGTGGGTCCAGCTGTATTGTTAACATTTTGTAAATTGGTGCTTGTGATTCTGGGAAAGCAGCTTCCAGTGTGATGAGTTGTCACTTATTCAAGCAGTTGACAAAGATAATTTGAAAGGAAGGAGTCTCTGTTCCAGTCAGCATGAGTAATAGCCTAACACTGACTCTAAGAGAAAGCGCTCTGCCAATTCAAAACCCAAATGAAGATTAATTAAGTGTCACTTCATAACATTTGGAGATTTTGGGGGGTAATATATTGTTGTATAGCAATGTGTCTTGGTTCTCACTCTCCTGCCTGGACAAAGGAATGGGTCCAGCAACACCGTACACTAACGGGCTTTTGGGTGTAAAAGTTTTTACCCAATTCAGCACAGATGTGCAGCTAGATTGGAAGCCATCACTGGCAAGGGTGGCCAGATCATACAGGTTAGGAGTGTGGTTTCTGGAGCCACACTGCCCAGGCTGAAAGTCCAGCTCTGTACTACATACGTATCTTTGGGCAAGTTGCAAAACCTCCCTATGCATTGGTTTCCTTAATACCTAATTAATAGAGCGTTCAGAGGTATGAATACCTGAGATAAAGTACATAAGTAGTTGAGGCTGGATTTGGTGGCTCCCACCTGAAATCCCAGCACTTTGGGAGGCAGAGGTGGGAGGATCACTTGAGCCCTGGAATTCAAGACCAGCCTGGGCAGCAGAGCAAGACCTCATCTCTACCAAAAAGAAAAAAAAAGAGCTGGGCATGGTGGTGCGTACCTGTAGGCCCAGCTACTCGGGAGTCTGAGGCAGGAGGATCACTTGAGCCCAGGAGTTGGAAGCTGTGGTGAGCCACGAGCAAGCGCCTGCACTCCAGTCTGGGCCACAGGGTGAGACCTTGACTCAGAAGTAGAAACTTGGGCTTGCCAGAATAGGAGGCGCCCCCATCGCGGTGACTTCACCACCTCGTGGGCCCGGGCCATGACTTGTGCGTCTTCTGCGGGCCGTGCGCTTTGCAGACGTGCCGTGGGCTGTGAAGAGTGGCGCGTGGGCCGCTCGTGCCTTTGCTTTGGCTCAGGTGAGTGTTTGAAGCCTAAGTCTGCTGTGCTGAGACAGTATGGAGGCTGGAAAGGGACCCTGGTGTCCAGAGGCGCCCTCTCGCGGCGGGCGGGGGGGAACCTGGGACTCCGTGGCTAGAGAAAGCCCGATGAGGCCAAGCCGAGTCTGCGGGGCGCTGAGGGAGATTGAGGCCGTGGCGACATTGGCGGTGTGGAAAACCCCGGAGGGGGCACTCCTTTGCCCTTTCTGGTGGGAGAAAAAGCAGATTTGTCATCTGTGAAGCCTCCTTGACAGAAGGTGCAGCTGGGAACGTGTCGTGGAGACTCGAGCACCGTGACTTAGTTGTCTCGAGGTCTGCAATGAAAGTGAAACGGCCGAGTGAACGAGGACAGCAGTCGTGCAACAGGTCACTGCGTGGCGTCCCTTCCTGAAGCCGAGACGCAGAGTTTTAGTCGAGCAAAGCGGAACGCCTCCTCCGACGGCCTCCTCCTCGGGAGTGTATTTGCTTCACTTACGTTTCATCTTGCACGCTCCTGGATTGATTCTTCCTCTTCCTCTTCCACCCGACCTAGACTGGGGTGGTGCCGTGACGAAGCCTTGTGTCTCTTCTCTGACTGCACTGATGACCGTGGGCAGCCGCCCGGTCCCAGGGCTTGCGTGTCACCCGCCGCTGAAGATTCCTCCCCGTGTCTCCAGCGTGGCCGTCTGCCTAGAGCGCAGGCCCCTGGCGCCGGCTGTCTCACAGGCACCTCCGTCGAGCCCTGGTCTTGCTCACCTGCTTTTTCTCCCTCCGTAGTCTGCTCTGTCTCGGGAAGTAGCCATTCCGTCGTGCAGCTTGCTTAAGTCAACCCCCAAACCGATGCTTTCTGCCATGCTGCCACTGCCCCCTTAGCACAGCAGTCCCCAAACCTGGCATCGGGGACCGGTTTCATGGAAGACACTTTGCAGGGACAGGGCAGGGGATCGCCAGGTGTTCGATTCTCTCGAGGAGCCGCAGCCGGGATCCCTCACAGGCGCAGTTCACAGTAGGGTTCGTGCCCCCAGGAGACTCAGATGCTGCCGCGGATGCGATGGGCTGAACGTGGGGCCCCGCTGTCCTGCTGCTGCCCTCCTGCTGCGTGGCCGTGCCTGCCGGTGCTGGTCCAAGCCCCGGCTGGGGACCCCTGCCACTTATCCTGCACCTTGCAAATGTATTCAGAATGCAGCCACTTCTCAGCATGCAGACTGCTGGCACTCTGGTTCAATCCACCGTAATCTCTTGCCTGAATTGTTGCAAAGGACTTCCCGCGGGGTGTGTCTTCTGCCCTTGACCACCCGCAGTCTAGTCTCAGCAGTCAGGCTCTTTCGCGCTTCTGCTCAGAGCCCTCCCACGGCTTCTCCTTGCACTCAGAGCCAGGCTCTTTCCAGTGGCCTGCAAGGCTTCTTGTTACCACTGTGAACGCTCCTGTTCATCTCACCCTCACTATGTAGAACCACTTGGCCAGTCTGCCGATTTAGGACATCGGAGCCGAGCTCTGCCTCTCTGCCAGGATGTTCTTTTCTAGATATTCCCATGGCTCATTGTCTTATTTTTTAAGGTCTTTACCTTTTTCAGTGAGATCTCTACTGACACCTTCTCTAACCACCTGCTTTAAAATTAATCACTCCTTGGATTAAAAAAATGTGGTCCTTATACGTGATGGAATGTTATGCAGTTATAAAGAAGGGCAAAATTATGGACTCTGCAGCAACTTGGATGGATTTTCAGTTCATCTTCCTCAGTGATCTATCACAGAAACAAAGAACTGAGTACCCCATGTTCTCACTCATAAGGGGACCCTGGATATTTATCATAACATTACATGAAAGAGATTGGCTTTAGAGGGTCATTGCTCAGGGAAGGGGGGAGTCACATAACACTCATAAGGGAATTGGATTCCAAACCAGGTGAAATAAGGACCAATGGGAGGCCCAAACTGCACCTGTACTATGACCACTTATGTACCTGACCCTGAATTGTGTCCCACTATAGGCAAACCTATAGTGTTTAAAGCTAAAAGAAATATGTGAATTAAGGCAGAAAAGAGAAAGAAAACAAGAGGCAAACCAGATTTCACCTGTGGGCATTAGTCTGACAATCTTTGGTCCTGCCCGTTTAGATCTGTCAGTGAAGAAAACAGATAGAATTCCTTTCCTCATTGAGCTTGTATTCTAATAAAATCTGTAAAAGTCTAGCATGAAGATAAAAGTGAAAATTGATTAGTTGTTCATCTCCAGGTATTCTCTCATCTGCTTTCTCTGCTTTATTTTTCTCCATGGCACTCACTCCTGCCTGGCAGACATTTTACTTATTTGTTTCTTCTCTTTTCCCTGACCCTGTACTGGAATGTAAGCTCCGTGAGAGCAGAGAATTTTGTTGGTTTTGTTCGCTGTTGTGTCTCAGCCTCCAACATAATGAATGCTTGACATATAGTAGATGCTTCTTAAATATTTGTTGCATGCATAAATAAACTCCTGGGCTATCTGAAATTTGACTTTTCTTTTGGTTTCATATTACTATTATTTTTAGTTGTTAAATTCACTTAAAAGCAGATACTGTTTAATTTGTCATAGAATGAAACTTTGCTACCTGTTGCCCAAAGTGAAATCCACTCTGAAGATTCCTGCGGATAAGCATCTACTTCAGCAGTTAGAAATGTGTGTGAGAAAACTCCTATGTCAAGAAAAAGATAAAGACGTTCTGGCTATTGTAAAAAGAGTAAGTATCACTCTTTTACAATGTTATGTTTGTTGCATTAAGACAGTGTTAATTACATGCTCTACTACTTTAGCTTGACAGGAGAGCAGTATGTTAAAATACTTACATTCTTGCCAGAATCGTAAGAATTAGCACATGATTAGTTGATTGTGCTACACTGGATGTGAAATTTCTTTCTGAAGGTTACATATATTAAACGTCACGAGGAATAGTTTGGCATATTAGGTGCTCAGTAAACACTGTTCAAGTAACAGATATGTCATTTACCAGACTTTTAAAATAAGTGATTACAACCCAGTGATTCTTTGTTGCTAAGTCACAGTTTGTAGAAAACCAGCACTGGAAGGGTCCTCAGTTAATTTGGTGGTCTGGTTGACGGCACAGAAGCCCTGGACCTAGAAGTATTAAACGTCTGCTTGAGATCGTGATAGTTAGTGCCAGGAGGAGGGCTGGAGTAGAGAGACCTCTTCCCTCCCTCCGAGTGCATTTCTTTTTTAATGATGCCGTGTGGCATCTTACGGGTTTTTTGCCTGTTTTGTTTTAGTAGGATGTTTCGTTATGTGGATTGTTTAGAGATGTTGGGAAACTGAAACTAAAAATTTGGGTTAGTGAGCCAAGCCTCAAGATGGTTTATCATCTCCAGAAACTCTTTATGCTGAGTACATAGCCAGCATTTTTATGAGATCAGATCAAGCCAGATGACAGTGGCTACTCTTATGAATCAGAATGTGAACTTTAAAACACAGTTTTCGAGCATGTATTTGTAGTGATGGAAATTGATTTATTAATGTCATAAATAAATCAGCATCGATGATGAGAAAAGAGAATTTTTCTATTTTTTTCTAGACATGGTTACCGACCACAGGTTCTTAGGCTTTTGTGTAATGGAAATTAACACGAGGCCAAACAGGTTCTCAGACAAGGCTTTGCTGGGGGCTTACGCAAGGGTGATGGCGCAGGAGGAGGAGTTGCCCGGCTCCCTGAGGGGACTGTCCGCAGCCTTTGCTAGCATGGCTAGGAGGGATTCTAGCTGCCGACACATAGGATAGAGGCGCACTGCTTCCCATGTCGCATGCACAACAGACGGTGGCTAAGCCCCACCTGGGCTGGGGTTTCAGGGTTATCATGAAGCAAGGGTTACATAGAGTCGGACACTGTCTGGGCTCCGGGGGTGTGAGGGAGAACGGTGAGCAGAGCTGTGGTCCCAAGCAAGATTTATGGTGAAACGTTGTTGATCAAAGCAGGCTTTTTTCAAGGCTGGTCTGATGGCTCCAGCTGGAATGTTGTTGCAAAGTCTGGCGGTTTGGGAGGCCCGGTCTTAAATTTGCTGTCTCAAAATCATTGCCAGATGTCACGTGAGGAACTTTGTTTTCTTTATTTTATTTTAAAGGTGTGGGGTACAATTCAGGGTAAAGTTTGGGCCTCACCTTGGTCCCCTCTTCACCTGGTTTGACATCAGGCAATCTTGTTGATGAGGTGTGCCCTTCCCTCCCTCCTCTGGCAGTTTCCCACTACTACCATCCTTTTCTTATGGTTTTAACGATCATTGTTCAAGGTCTGCTTATGTGTGAGAGCATGTGATACTCAGTTCTTTGTTTCTGTGATAGGTCACTCAGTATTATAGACTCTAAGTCCATCCAAGTTGCTGCGAAGTCTATAATTTTGTCCTTCATTATGGCTGTGTACGAGGAACTTTTTAATAAAGTGTTTCGGTGATTTGGTTTTAATTAGTATAATTTTATTCTTACTGAAACGTGAATTCCTCTTTCACCAACTGAAATAACCAAAAATACCCAGAGTTGGCCGTGCATCTAAATCTGAAACACAGATACAGACACACACACATTTATTTGCACCAGATAGTTATGTCCTTACTATGTAATATTTGAATGTAGAAGTTTAGGCAGTGGGGTTCATTTGTCAAAAGAACGAACATGACAGGGTTAGTTGCTTTTACAAAATAATTTAATAATACTAGCTAACCTCGTATAGGTACAACAATGATATAATTAAATTAATAGATTATTCATCTGCAATGGATTTTTCTTGAGTACGGCTTTTACTTTAAATATGTACCAAATAATGAAGTCTGTCTGTTCCATGAAAATTCTGTAGTAGAGTGAGATGTTCGTATGGGAACCTCTGAGGAAGCCATCAAAAACTTTGAGGTAAAAATGGAGTAATTACTCGATTAAGTTTTTGAATATGAGAAGTAACTTTATTTAAAAAGGGGATATGTAATGGCATAAGTTGTAAATTTTGAACAGTTTCAGCATAAAAATAAAAATTCAGATACCTTTCTTGTTGGTAATGGATAGTGTGGGGCATGTGATATGTACGTGTACTTATTTGGGCCCTTTGCTTTACCCTTGTAGAATACGTTTTTTGAAGTACTGTACTATCAGAGACGGAATCCTGGATTAGATTGACCTTTGACTTTGATTGAAATAATTGGTTTCAAACTAGTGTATTCTGAATGACATGCAGTCAGTTGAGAGCATACTTTCAGAGCAAAGTCTTTCCTGTTGCTCCGAGCATCATAATGACTTAAAATTTCTGTGGACAGGCACTAAGGATTCTACGCCCAAATCATAGCTGGTTTCGTACATATTTAGCTAAAAGTCTTCTTTAAAGTGTAAAAGCTACCTTACGTTCCTGAAAACTCAGAAAAGCTTAGCACTGGGAGTTATGAGAAGTTAGTGAAATTGAATGCATCTGGTATTTAAAATATGCCTTAGGCTTGCTCTTCTTAAGGTTAACAGCGTTTAAAAGTTAAAACGGATCCTGATATTTGTGTCTAGAGGTTGGTCACAGATGCAGTTTAAAGCGGAGCAGAACTTGGGAGTCTTCTGACTTGTCCTTCCACATAGGGCAGAAGGCTCCTTGCACTTCCCTCTGCAGAAGGAGTCACTGAGAGATGATCGGTTTGTTTTTTTCAGTTTCTGTCGAATAATTTTGAAAACTTTCTTTATAGACCGTGTTAGAGTTGGACAGGATGGAAATGTCTATGGACGCCGTAAGTGCACTCTCTTTACCTTATATTGAAAGAATTTGCTTAAAAATGGGCAGAAACTCATCGCGAATGTTTTACAATTTCACGTTAAACTCTCAACAGTTTCAGAAAAAGTTTTATGAAAAAGATCTGGTGGACCAAGAGAAGGAAAGAGAAGAGCGGCTTCTTTTGGAAATGGTAGGTTGTTCTCACATGCGTAAGCATAGATACGCTCTTTCCTGATGGATATGTTAACTGTTCTTTGTTGTTTGACTTAAAAAATAGTTTCTTTCATTCATACCACATTTTTTTCTTCTTAAAGGACTAACGAAGAGTGCTGATTTTCTGAAATTCGTATTTGTGAGCTGGAAGGAAAGCTACATTTGAGAGCCTTTCTTTCACTCTGTTGGCGTATAATTGACAACAGTGGAGTGAATTTAAAGTGTGTACTTTGGAGTTTTGACATATGGACATAGTTATGAAGCCATCACCAAAATCAAAATACAGAACATTTTTATTTCCCCCAAAGTGTCTGCACGCCTCTTTGTAATCTGGTCCCCAGCAACCAGTGATCTGGTTTCTGTCACTGTAGGCTAGTTTGCATTTTCTTGAATTAATCTAAATTAAATGATGAATTAGGTCCTTTTCTTAGTCCTGCCTCTTTCCATCCGCATGGTTATCTTGAGATCCATCCATGCCCTTGTGCTATCGTTAGTTCGATCCTGTCCACTAATGTGGCTTCAGACCATGCCATGGACATTCCACGGCTTGTGTATCCATTCACTCCTTAATGGACATTTGGCTAGCAGAATATTATAGCAAAAGCTGCCATGGACGTCAGGGATGACGTCTTTGGGTAGACGTGTGTTTTGTTTCTTGTGGTTAAATGGCTGAAAACAGAATGACTGCATCATATGGTATGCTTAGCCTAAAAACAAACAACAACTGTCTTCCAAAGTGGCTGTACCATTTTACATTCGCATGGCCAGTGGTGAAGAGCTTTAGTTACAGCGTTTAACTATGACATGTCTTCTGTGATGCTTGATATGGTTGGTCTTTTTCACTGCAGCTGTACTGGTGGGTATGTAATGGTATCTCTCTTTTCTTTTAATTACATATCCCCAATGGCTAAAGATGCTGAGCATGCTTTTGTTAGTAATAAGTGTGAAATTAGCCATTTTTATCTCTGTTCAGTTTCACTGATTTTATGTTTATCTTTTTGGCAATACCAGACTTTCTTGGTCACTGTAACTTTGGAGTATTTTTGAAATCAGGTCGAGTAAGTTTTCCATCCTTTAAAATTGCTTTGGCCAACGCAGGGCCTTTGCATTCTGATATGAAGTTTGGAATCAGTTTCTCAGTTTCTATAAAAAGCCTGCTAAGATTTTAGTTAGGATTATGTTAATTAGAATTGATCTATGGATCAATTTGAATTGCCATCTTAGCAATACTGAGTCTTCTGCTCTGAATATTACCTACCATTTCATTCCATTCCATTCCATTTGGTCTTCCTTATTTTTTGCTCAGTAATTTTGGTAGCATTCAGTACAGAGCTCAAGGACGTTTTTTGTCAGGGATTTTATGGGTTTTTTTGATGTTGTTATACATGGAATTATAATTTGTAAATTTTACTTTTCAGTTTTTTTGTTGCTAGAGTGTAAGAAGAATGCGGTTGATTTGTGTGTTGTATAAACTTGCCAGATTTTCTTATTTGTTCTTGAAGTTGTTTCAGATTTTCTAAAACTAGGATTTTCTATGTAAACCATCATATCTTTAAATACAGCATGGTTATTTCTTTCTTTCAATATTCTTGTCTTCTATTTCTTTCTTTAGTTTTATTGCAAAGACCAGTACAATTAAAGATCTCCAGTTGAATAAAAGTGGTACCAGTGGGCATCCTTGACATTTTACTGATCTTAGAGGGAAATAGTTCATTCTTTTATTACTAGGGTTGAAAGTAGCAGTAGGTTTTACGTAGATGTTCTTTATCAGATTGAGGAAGTTGGTTCTTACTCCCGGTTTGCTGAGAGTCTTTATGACTGATTGTTGCATTTTGTAATGTCTAGAAATGACATTTGGCTTTTCTTTTTCATTCTGTTGATACATGAATTATGTTGATTTTTCAAATGGTAAACCAATCTTGTGTTTTGGAGATAAGCTCTGCTTGGTGATGATATGTTATCATTTTTCTCTGCTGTTGTATTCCTGGCCGAGGTTTTTGTTGAGGAATTGCTCATCTGTATTTATGGATTCATAGTGAAATTGGCCTATAATTTTCTTTTTAAAAATATTCTTGAGCCAGGCTTGGTGGCTCAGCCTGTAATCCGGTGCTTTGGGAGGCTGAGGTGAGTGAATTGCCTAAACTCGCGGGTTCGAGACCCACCTGGGCAACTTGGCAAGACCTCATCTCCACAATAAATTAAAAAGTTAGCTGGGCGTGGTAGCACATGCCTGTAGTTCCAGCTACTTGGAAGGCTGAGGCGGAAGGATTGCCGAAGCCCAGCGGGTCGAGGCTGCGGTGGCCGGCAGCGGCCACTGCACCCCAGTCTGGGTGACAGAGTGAGACTCCAACTCAAAACACAACAACAAAAAATTTTTTTGAGGTCAGACATGGTGTTAGAGTTGTTTTGACCTTATAAAACAAGATGGGTAGTTTTTTTTTCTTCCTCTGTTTTCTGACACAGTTTGTAGAAAATTGGTTTTATTTTTTTCCTTGAATGCTTAATAGAATTCACTAGCAAAACTATCTAGGCCTGGCACTTTCATTTTAGAAAGGATTTTGATCATTGAATTCAATTTCTTTCATAGATATAAAACCATTTAGGGTTTCTGTTTCTTCTTTTGTCAGTTTTGGTAAGTTGCCTCTCTGCCCCCAATGTCCTCTGTCATTTATTCTGTCAAATCTATTGGCATACATTTGTTTATAATATTCTTATATTATCATATTATGGTTATAGTCTCATAATATCCTTTTAATGTAATGCGATAATCTATGATGATAATCTCTGTTTAATTATTGTGTTAGTGATTTGCGTCCCCTCCCTTTTAAAAAAAAAAATTTTGGTGATTTCTTTAGAGGTTTTAATATACATACCTACCCTTTCACAGTCTACTTGTTATTATTGCACCACTTCACTTAACAATGATACAGGTCTCTTTACCCACTTCACATCATTCTTTATGTTAGTTTTCATATAAATTGCCTCTGCATTAGGGATTCCACCAGCCAGTGCTTTAATTTTACTTTATCGTTTATTTCTTAATGAATTTGAGAGAGTAAACTTTTGTGTTTGCTCAGATAATTACTATTTCAGTGCTCTTAGTTTATTGTTTAGGATCTAAATTTCCCTCTAGTGTTTATTCCCTTCAGCCAGAGCAGACCTTGTAGTGCAGGTCTTCTGGTAACAAATTCTCTTAGTTTTTTGTTTGTTTGTTTTTTTAATATTAAATGCCTTATGTTTACCTTTATTCCTGAAGGATTTTTTCATTGGGTTTAGAGTCTGGGTTGGCAGGATTTCCTTACAGCATTTTAAAGATATGTTTCTGTGGTCTGATAAAATATCTGCTCTTATTTGGATTTTCCTTCTTCTGTCTTAATGTTTTCCTCTTGCTGCTTTTAAGATTTTTTTTCTTTTATAGTTTGTATTTAGCAATTTGCTTTTATGTGTCTAGGCATGACTTACTTAGAATTTATCCTGTTTGGATTTGCTCATCTTACTGAATCTGTAAATATATATCATCCCCCAAATTTGTGAATATTTAGGTCATTGTTTAAGTAATATGTTCAGTTACAGTTTTTCTCTCTCTTATTTCTGGGTCTCCAATTATGCACATGTTAGATCTTTTATTATTGCCCCACCAGTCCATGAGGCTTTGTTAGTTTTAAATTTTTTTAAAAACTCTTTGCTGCTAAGTATGAATCATTTCTGTTTATCTATTTTCAGTGTCACCAGCTTTTCCCCTGTCATCTCCATTCAGCTGTTGAACCTATCCAGTAAATTTTTAAATTTCCAATATTGTATTTTTCAGTTCTAAAATTTCCATTTGGCGATATCTCTCCCCCTCCCCCTCCCCCTTCCCCTCCCCCTCTATCCTCTGGTGGGAATTTGTGTGTTGTGAGAGTACAAACTTAAGTGGAAATCTGAAAAACAAAGTGCATTATTTCAGCAATCTTCCAAGACAAAGATCAGAGTTCAGGACTGCCTGTTGTAGAAGATACAGAGAATAAGAGGGCTTTCAAAAACATTTTAGGACCAAGTGACTTAAACCCCAGACAAAAACAGACAATAGAAAAAGACCCATAGATCCTAATACTGGAGTTAGCAGATAAGGACTTCAAGCTAACTGTGGTTAATCTGGTCAAAATAATAGAAGGATGGAGAAAACAGATAACTCTGTGTTAAGCCCTCCTAGTGACATTATTCCGTTTTATGTTGTAGAATTTACGTTTGATTCTTTTTTGTATAGTCCAATTCTGTATGGAAATTCCTTACTTATTGTTGATTTTTTTCCATCTTTTTCTTTATTTTACATGTAAAGAACGTTACTTTACTTGAAAAGAATGTTTTTTTTCCTGCTGGTTGAGTATAGTATTCTATGCCTGTCAGTTATACCAAGTTTGTTCAGAACTGCTGTGTTCATTGATTTTTATTGCCTGTTTGTTCTGTTGGGACAAGGGGCACCTGAGTTCTGGTAATGTTTTATTTCTTTATATTGAAGCTGGTTATACAGATATGTTTATTTTGGGAAAATTCATTGAGCTGTATACTTACAATTTGTATATTTTCTCTACATTTATTATTCTTAAATAAGGTGCTTTAAAAACATCCAAGAAATCATTTTCTTTTCTCTTAATATTTTTAAAGAAAAATATTATTTGGCCATTTACAACAAAATTGAAATGACCAATATTAATGAATGTTTTTGCTAACGAGAATCAGTAAATACCTTCTAGAAAATAGATACCCAAAACCCAGTGTTTTCGCCTAACAAACCCCAAGGGAACAATTCTGTAGATTTTACAAGGACACAGCAAATCTGAAAGAACTCTTAATTCTTTAGACACTAATATGGAGAAACAAAACTTCTTTTAGACTTTTTTATAAATTATATTTGAATCTCTAAAGCTTAGAGCAATTTTGCTTACATTAAAATGTGTTCAATTTGTACTTCTGTGCTTTTAATGTTAAGATACTGTCTTAATAACAGGAGCAACTGGAGAGGGAGAAGCAGCAGAACGACGGGAGGCCCATGAGTGACAAAATTTTTGAAAAGAAACGTGAGTAGTTTTTCTGTGTCTTCACCACTCAGTTACATAGTTAAGGTTGCATCCCCGTATTCTGAAAGACTGTGCTAAGTTTTGATTTGGGGAATTGTTTTATTTTCATTTTGCAAAAATTATTTTTGAAAGTTGTCTGTTTAATATGGCACAGATGCTAAGAATGCATGACTGAACGGTAAGAACAAGTGTGGGGGTTCAGGCCATTCAGAAAAAAAACTTAATATTTGATAGCAGTTGTAAGAATGTGAAATTGATCACCGAATAACCGAGATGGAAATATGTAAGTATGCAAAGTGAGAGTATTTGGAAAAGAGAGCTGCTTAGCGAGGGACAGTGATTCACATTGCCTGCGTTGTCTTGTGTATTTCTGGAGATTAGTAAGAACTTGGAGGAAATTCTAGAACGTAAGAGTTTATTTTAGGTAGAGACTCTAAGACACCGACGCAAAGCCTGCCCAAGGGCATCCCCGTTTCTGTGCCTGGACCCTCTTCTGTCACCCCATCGACAAGTAAGAAATAGCTTCTTTTTGTGTTTCTTTTATAATTCCTTCTTTTATAAAAGTCAGTTGCAAGCAAAGTCACTCTATCAGTTAAAACATATTATCTAAAGCACTTTTTGCCTTCTTCTAGTAGTTGTTTTTGGCAGTTTTTTTTTTTTAAGTGAGAAAGTAGGATTTATTGAGAGGATAGAAGAGCTCCCACAGCGGGAGGGGACCGGAGAGGCTTGCCCTCGGTAGTTATTCATGGGCAACCCTGGGCAAGAGATACTACCGTCAGTTCAAGCTAAGGGAAGAATGCCACTCCTATTCACTCGTGTTTTACTCATAATGATGGCAATTTGGGGAGGAAATGGGGGTTGGAGTGGGTAAGGATAAACTGAATGCATTTTTTTCCTGCGTGTTACTCTAGGCAAAGAAATCAAGAAATCCAAACTGGTTCGAAGCCAGTCCTTTAATAATCAAGCTTTTCATGCAAAATACGGCAGTTTGGAGAAGTGTGCTAGGTATGATGTCTGCTGTTAACTTTTTTATGAGTTTTTTATTTTAAATTTAAAACTTTACATTAATTTTGAGAGATAATTTGTTAGTTTTATTCTGTAGAGATTATTATATTTAAAAACCGGAGAAGTCTTACCAATTTGCACAAAAACAAGTGTCCTGACATTCCAGAAAGAATACTGCCACGACACTGTTTAAAATAGCATCATGAAATCCATATGTCATTTTATGAGGAAGGTGGTGCTGTATTACATATGCCTCTTAACTTTTAAATAGGTATGGATATGTCGCGTTTGCCAAATGACGTGACTGTCCATCTGCTGTTAATATTGTTTCTGTCTGTAGAGAAGCCACTGGCACGTGTATATGTTAAAGTGACTGCTGCAGAGTTCTCCTGACAATGGGTGAATGTCTGTCTGGTTTCCCCTTTAGCCCAGAAGACAAATTAAAAGTGGTTAAAATTAGGAGAGAATCAGCATACACTGAGGTACTGTGATTATTTATGTATGCTGTACAAACAGCAACATGTTAATTGACAAGCAAGGTAATTTAAGGAAACAAGTGTCGGCCAGGCTCGGTGACTCAGCCAGTCATCCCAGCACTTTGGCAGGATGAGACGAGTGGATCACCTGAGTCTGCGGGTTTGAGACCAGCCTGGTCAACTTGGCGAGACTTCATCTCTATAATAATAATAAAAAATTAGCCGGGCATGGTAGTGCGCGCCTGTAGTTGCGACTACTTGGAAGGCTGAGGCAGAAGAATCGCTGGAGTACAAGCCAGGTTGACACTGGGGTGGCCATGAGCATGTGTGCCACTGCACTCCAGCCTGGGTGACAGAGTGAGACTCCAACTCAAAAAAAAAAAGAAAGAAAGAATAAAAAGAAAACAGGTGTCTTTAAAAGCATTCATTTGTCTATCAAGATAAATAACGTTACAGAACAAATATTTTCCTTTTATTAAACATAGATTTCCAGAATTTCAGCTGTATTTTTGGGCATTAGTAGATTCATCTGGGTTTCCTAGCCAAGAGGGTGACCTCAAGATGCCATTAAAGATATTTTCACCGGGCTGGGTGGCTCAGCCTGTAATCCCGCGCCTTTGGGAGGCTGAGGTGAGTAGGTTGCCTGAGCCTGCGGGTTCGAGACCCGCCTGGGCAGCAAGACTTTATCTCTACAATAAATAAAAAAAATCAGCCGGGCATGATAGTACATGCCTGTAATTCCGGCTGCTTGGAAGGCTGAGGTGGAAGGATCGCCAGAGCCCAGCGGGTCGAGGCTGCAGTGGCCGGGAGCAGCCACTGCACTCCAGTCTGGGCGACAGAGTGAGACTCCAACTCAAAAACAAAAAAAAAAGATATTTTCAAGAAAATGTTCCCCATCTTACCTGTCTCGTCTTAGCATCAAAAGAAAAACTGAATTCTGATGAAGCAAACGTTTAAGGAAATGCTTTTAAGTTGCTGACAAAGTTAAGTGTTGTGAGATATGGAATGTAAAACACAAATGAACTGAAAGCAACAAGCATGTTTCATTTATAGAAGAAAGTCCTAAAATAAGATTCAAACAGCCCAAGTGTTAGATGCTTGAGATTGTAAGAAGCATGCTCTTGTATTTTAAACCAAATCGTGCTCTTTTCTAGTAAAAGTTCTGCAGCGGGATATACACCTCCTGTCTCAGGGTTAGCAAAGACATCTGTGCTTTCAGTGACTGGTAAGTAGCAGTTTAAACTCTTCCAAAAATCGCTAAATTTAATGAAATATGATTTTCTTTAAACGACCTATTTCTTTAATTCTAGATGCAGTATCTTTCCTAAATGTATATTTGTAGCAGATTCCTAAGAAATTAAACTTTTCCCTAGCAATTGAGAAAATATTTGACTATGCTGTTTTGTCTTCGCTGCCTCAAGATCCAGTCTAACACCTTTAAAAGAATAGGCGGACACAGCGATAGGATAGGTTTTGCCATCGACTGAAAACCTCCTGAGACACAGACAAAAAATTTTCACGGTAATTTTTAAGGAAGTTAAAAACAGGGAGATTGCGCCGTGAATTGTCTGTAGCGAAACAGCCATGAACAGTGCATCACGAATAGGTGTGACTGTGTTCCAGGAAGACTTTACAAAAGCAGGCAGTGGGCAAGATTGGACCTGCAGGCTGTGGTCTGCTGACTTCTGGCTTATGTAATAGAACATAGACTTCTATTATTAATAATGTAGAATATCGCTAAAATTACTAGTGGCTAATGTGTGTCTTTTTAACTTTAATCCTCAGGAATATTGGGTGAAAATTTTAATACTGATCTGTGGTAATTTTTCGTGTAAATAATAGTGAATCTGCTCAAAGATCCGGCAACTTGGAGAACTTAGTTCCTTCCCTTTTTGGTGAAGGTTTGCGTGTTCTGTCTCGCCTCACGGTCGTCGTTGTCGTCGTCACTGTTTTTCCTTCTCGTGAAGCGTCCGTGCTCTCATGGAGTGTTCTGCCAACAGTGTCTTCATTTGCTGGAACAGAAAGTCTTGCTAACATTGAAGCACTGACATCATGCCCAGTGTAGAGAACGAAGGTCGATTATGATTGTCATGAGAAATGATGTGATGACAACAAAAGGCTGTTGAACTAAAGTTCTCACCATATCTTAGACTATAACTAATACAACCGTTGACACTTTTAGCTCCGCAAATCAGTGACTCTTTTAGGAGTTCTAGGAAACATCTAGGGCTCAAGAGCTTTCTTCGCTCTGTAGAATGCCTTTGCACATTAAGTGCATGTGGAAAACCAGTTTGAATCACCTCAGTTTGGAGCTAATGGCGCAAATGGCGACAGACGCCATGAGAGGGTCTTCAGGCTTGGATGGATCTCACCTGTCCCCTTGGCATTTCCTTCACTCAGCTATAAATGAGCGTGTTTATCTGTGAACTTTTAACAGTTTTTGCCAAGAAATGTGTTTGCCTAAATAATTATGTTGATTCAGAACTGGTTTTTAAGAGATTTAATTGTGTACATTAGTTTCTTTAGTTTTTACTTTGCTAGTTCTTAAGTGACCTTGAGAATCCAGAGTTGATGTGGTCCACAGGTCCTGAAACTTACATCCAAAATCTTAAAAGCATTCATTTTATAAGGGGTAAAACTTTTATTAAAATATTTGGCAAATATTCTATTGTAATGGTTCAAGATTATTTTGGGGTGATGGAGAACTCTAGGTTGAATGAAATATCTCCTGGGGTTCTTGGTTAGAAAGTTGTTCTTACTACTTATAATTATTTATTCCTTAATGAAATCCAGACTGTATAAATACACATCTTACTATAGTGGAAATGGAAGCAAAATGTCTTTTATCAAATGCCGTAGGATTTACGTGGAGAAGAGAACTTATTAAATTGTGGGACTCAAATGGGTTTCAAAATGATTATGTCTTTTGAGATGAACCTTAAGGGTTTTCTGACAGACAGAGTTGGGCATAGAACGACATTCCATGCAGAGTACTGGTCATAAACAAGAGCTAATGGTTGGTGTCCAGTGTGACGGGAAGGTGGAGTAGGTGCAAGGGAATAGTGTTAGATAAAACCGTCTGGAAAGGTCAGAGTCGTAGTTGAGCGTGCTGGATTGGTTATCTTTTCCGTAGCCCTAGCCCACTGTTAATCGTGTGATGCCTTTGCTTGCCATTGATGAGAACACTCCATCCAGAGCTATGTGGGGAGAAGAGAGAGAGGCTCGTGAGGATTCATGGAGATGAACTGCCATGTGTCCGGGGTTAGCAGGTGTGAACATCAGTGGAACCCTGCTAGGAAGCACTTAGTGAAGCCCATCAGGATCCGACTTTTCCTGTACACTCTGACTCCCAGCAGTCCCACTTCCAGCGATTTTCACGAAGCAGTAAGACACATAAACTGTGATCAAATATGTCATCTCCGTGCCCTTTATGTGATACGATGAAAATGGCCCTCTGTCATCTTCCCTCAGACCCATAATGCTAGTCTAATCTTTAGAAAAGTGTCAAGCAAATTCCAGTAGAGGGACATCCTACAGAATATCTGACCAGTACCCAACAAAACTGTTATGATCATCAAAACTAAGGAAATTCTGAGACACGGTCACAGCCAAGGAGCTCTTAAGGAGACCTGACTAGAATGCAGTGTGGTGTCCTGGGTGGGATCCAGAGGCAGAAGAAGATGTTAAGCAAAATAAATGAGCTGATAATATGTCAGTACGATTCATTAAAGATAGCAAGCATAGCATATTAATAGCAAGTATTAATCATAGAGGAAATTGGGAAAAGTGTGAGAATTACTTTTACTGTCTTCTCAAATGTTCTGTGAATTTAAAACTCTCCTAGAAAATAAAACCTATCTAAGAAAAATAACATTTACGATGGTTTCAGAAACACTAAGTGCTCAGGAACAAGTTTAACAAAATGTGCTAGATTTACACCAAAAACTTTAAAACATTGCTGAAAGAAATTAAAGACCTGCTGGGCGTGGTGGCTCAGGCTTTTAATCCCAGCCACTTGGGAGGCTTGGATGGGAAGATTACTTGAGCTCAAGAGTTAGGGGCTGTATTAGGCCTTGATTGCACCACTGTTCTCCAACCATAGCGACAGAATGAGACTTTGTCTCCTAAAGAAAAGAAAAGAAAAGAAAGAAGACCTAAATAAGTGAAGAGACATTGCACTTGCTAAACTGATTCAGAGAGTCAGTGTGATCCTAATTAAAATTCTAGCAGTCTTTTTGTAGAAATGTTTAAGCTGATTATAAAATAAACTAAACAGTATAGCCAAAACAGTCTTGAAAAAGAAGAACAAAGTTGGAAAGCTTACACTTAAGTTTGATTTCAACGCCTACTGTAAAATTCCAGTAATGAAGACATTGTGGCCTGTGTTGTCAGTTATAGTCTGTTGATTTTAACAAAGGCTCCAAGATAAATCAGGGGTGATATAATAATATTTTTAAAAATGGTAATAATTGGACCAGTTCCTTGAATGACTCAATTCAAATCTCACATAAGAAGAAATGGACAATCTGGATCTATCTACTCAAGAAACTGAGTCAGTAATTAATAACTTTCCAAAACGGAAAGCACCGGGCTCAGATGGATTCACTGATAAATTCTACTCAACATTTGAAGGAAGAAATTACTATACCAATTCTCTGTAATTTCTTTCACAAGATAGAAGCAGCAGGAATATACCCTAACTCATTCTATGAGGCCAACATTACCCTACTACCAAAACCAAACAAATACGTTCCAAGAAAAGAAAACTATAGACCAGCAGCTCTCATGAATATAAATCCTTATAATGGTTTTAGCAGTTTTTGAACTCGTCAATTTTGATGCCTTTTAGTGCTTCTGCTGTTTTTTGTTTCACTTCTTCTGCATTAGCAAAACATATCCCTTTGAAGACTTTTTTTAAATCTGGGAAACAGAAGTCTCTTGGGGTGAGATCAGGTGAATAGAGAGGGTGGGGTACAGAGATCATGCTGTATTTGGTCAAAAACTGCTACCACTCAGCACAGTGTGGGCGAATGCACGTGTAAGCCACCCATCCTGAAATGGGCAAACACGTTGAAAGAATCTCAAAAAAAAAAAAAAAAAAAAAAGGATCAGCCTCTGACAGCAACGCGAGTGAGTACACTGCTGCGGATGCCTTCCTGGAACACTTACCTAGCAGGGGAAGCCTGTGCTACAAGGATCCCACAAAACACGCAATACAATATCACACCAGTAAGTCAAGGAAGAAAAACCATGTGAGCATATTAATAGATGCATGTTAATCACGTGATCACATTAATAGAAGCATTTGACAGAATCCAACACCTATTTATAATAAAAACCCTAAGTAAATTAGGAAAAGAGAGGAACTTCCTCAACTTGATAAGAAATAGTTACCAAAAACTACAAGTAATGTATATTCTTACTATGCAATTCAGCAGTCATGCTTCTTGGTATTTACCCACAAGAGGAACTGAAAACTTATATCCACACAAAACCCTGCAGACGAGTGTTTACAGCAACTGTATTTATAATTGCCCAAACTTGGAATCAACCAAAATGTTCTTCAGTAGGTGGATGAATAAACAAACTGTGATACACCCAGGTAATGGGATGTTATTCAGTGCTGCTAATAAATGAGCTGCCAGGCTACAGAGAGATCATGGGGGAACCTGAAGTGCATACTACTTAGTGAGAAAGGCCAGTCTTAAAAGACTAGACACTGTGATTCTGATAATAGACATTCTGGAGAGGACAAGACTATGGAGACAGTAAAACGGTCAGTAGTCAGGAGCTGGGGAAGAGGAGCAAATAGGTGGAAGACAGAGGACTCTGAGGGCAGTGGAAACACTCTGCCGTAAGGATGGAAGCATGCCATTTTGGTTTTGTCCAGACCCCGAAATGTGTGACCTCAACAGCGAACCTGATGAAAGTCCATCAGTTGCTACGTGTGTACTACTGGGGGGAGACGGTGATGGTGGGGGAGCCGGGCCCTGAGTGGGGAGACGGGGCGGACTCCGGGCCTTTCACTCAATTTTTCTGTGCCCTCAAACCGTTCTAAAAAATAAAGTCTGTCTAAAAATGGGTGTTGGAGCCATCGGATGTCCAGATATATCAAGAAAAATAACTGAAGCTCAATTCTTTTCCCAAAAGTTATATTCATTTAAGGGGTGCAAGTGCAGTTTGCTACCTGGAAAAATTGCCTAGTGGTGAAGTCTGGGCTTCTAGTGTATTCATCACCTGAGGAGTGTACATTGTACCTAAGTTAGGAAAATCGTAACTGAAAATCCTGGCACAAGACAGGAGTGTGTAAAAACGGTCCCAAAGGAGCTTTTGCATCATGACAGCGCACCAGCTCATGCCGCACTGTCTGTGAGGGAGTTTTTAGCCAGTTAAAAAAATACCTGTATTGGAACACCTTCCCTACTGACCTGATCTGGCCCCAATGGCATTTTTCTTTATTCAAAGATAAAGGAAATATAGAAAGGGAGACATTTTGGTGACATTCAGGACATCAAGGGATAATACAACAAGAGCTCTGATGGACATTCCAGAAAAAAGAAGTACAAAATTGCTTTGATGGGTGGACTTGGTGCTGGTTTACACAATTTCCATTGGTTTACAGCTTCCCAAGGGGAGTACTTTGGAGGTGACCATAGTGATATTCAGCAGCGAAGCATGTAGCATTCTTTTAAGGATGAGTTTGCAAACTTAATTCCCACCCCTTATTCCCGAGATGCAAGGTGGGTTCAACATATGCAAATCAATCAATGTAATACACCATATAAATAACTAAAAACAAGAACCATATGATCATCTCAATAGATGCAGAAAAACATTTGGTAAAATCCAACATTCCTTCTTTTAAAAATTCTCAACCCTCAAGGCACTGAAGGAACATACCTCAAAATAGTAAGTGCTGCCTCTGACAAACCCACAACCAACATCATACTAAATGGGCAGAAGTTGGAAGCATTCCCCTAAGAACCAGAGGACGTCTACTCTCATCACTTCCATTTAGCATAGTCCTGGAAGTCCTAATCAGAGCAATCAAGCAAAAGAAGAAACAAAGGGTATCCAAATAGGAAAAGAGGAAGTCAAATTATCTCTTTTTGTAGACAGTATGATTCTATGTCTAGAAAACCCCAAAGATTCCACCAGAAGTCTCCTAGGCCTGATAAACAACTTTACTAAATTCTCGGGATACAAGTCAACATAGAAAAGTCAGTAGCATTTTTATACACCAGCAACATTCAGCCAAGAAGCAAATCACGAGCACAATTCCATTAACAACAGCCACAAAAATTAAGATCTCTGGGAATATGTCTATCCAAGACGGTGAAGGATCTGGGCGAGAACTGCAACACATTGCTGAAAGAAATCAGAGATGACACAATGGAAGAACATTCCATGCATGTGGATTTGAAGAATCCGTGTCATTAACAAAAGCAATTTCCAGGTTCTTCCCAGTCCCCACTAAACTAGTGTCATTTTTCACCGAAAAAACAATACATATCCATATGGCAGCAAAAGAGAGCCTGAACAGCCAAAGCAATCCTAAAGCCGGAAGTATCACACTACTGGACTTCAAACTTTACTACAAGGCTACAGTTGCCAAAACTGCATGGTACTGGTACAAAAATAGGCACATAGACCAGTGGAACAGAACGGAGAGCCCGGAAATAAAGCCACTGACCTACAACCAACTTGAAAAAAATAGTAATTGGGGAAGGACACCCTCCTTAAAATGGTGCTGAGAAAACTGACCAGCCATATGCAGAAGAATGAAACTGGACTTCTCCTCATGTATAAAAATTGACTTCGTATGGATTAAAGACTCAAATGTAAGACCTTAAACTATAAAAATTCTAGAAAAAAGTCTAGGAAACACTGTTCTGGACTTCAGCCTAGGCAATGAATTTATGAGCAAGTCCTCAAAAGCAAATCCTGAAGAAAAAAGACAAGTGGGACCTAATTAAACTGTAGAACTTCTGCACAGCAAAAGAAACTATCAACAGAGTAAATAAACAACATACAGAATGGGAAAAAGTATTTGCAAACTATGTATCTGACCAAGACCTAATATCCAGAATCTTTAAGAATGAATTGGCAAGGGGAAAAAAGACTCCATTAAAAAGCAGGCAAAAGACATGAGCAGACACTTCTCAGTAGAATACATAAAATGCTCAGCCTCGCTAATCATCAGGAAATGCATATCAAAACCACAGTGAGATACTATCTCACACCAGTCAGAATGACTTATTAAGTCAAAAAACAACATGCTGGCAAGATTGCAGAGAAAAGGGAGGACTCATACATTATTGACAGGATTGTAAGCTAGTTCAGCCACGTTGGAAAACAGTTGGGAGATTTCTCAAATAACTAAAAGTAGATTTGCTGTTTGATCCAGCAATCTCACTACTGGGTATATACTCAAAGGAGCATGCATCGTTGACCAAAAAGACACCTGCACTTGTATGTTTCTCACAGCACTATTCGCAAGAGCAAAAACATGGAACAGACCTGGGTGCCCATCAGCGGCAGATCAAGCAAAGATGATACATAGACACCATGGAATTCTACGCAGCCATAAAGAATTATGTCCTTTGCAGTGTTGTAGATGGGGCTAAAAGCCATTATTCTAAGCAAATTCATACAGAAACAGAAAACCAAATGCCACATGTTCTCACTTACAAGTGGGAGCCAGACCCTGGGCACACATGGGCATAGGGATGGGAATGTACGCTGGGCACTCCTACAGCAGGGAGGGAGAGGCCAGCAAGAGGGGAGAAACTGCCTTTGGGTACTGCGTTCACTCTCGGGTGGTGGGCTTGGTTTAAGCCCAGACCTCACCATCACATGATAGTAGGCCCCTGTAGCAAACCTGCTTAAGGGGCACATGGACCCCTTACATCTAACATTTAGAAGTAGCTAACAGGCCAGGCATGGGGCTCACGTCTGTAACCCCAACACTGCAGAAGGCCAAGGTGGAGAGGATTGCCTGATCCTAGAGGATTGTTGAGACCAGACTGGGCGACATGGCAAGACTTCGTCTCCACAATGAAATAAAAATTAGCTGAGTGTGATGGTGCATGCCTGTAACCCCAGCTACTCTCAGGAGGCTGAGTTGGAAGGATCCCCTGAGCCCAGGAGATCACTCTGACTCAAAAAAAAGAGAGTATACTGTAAGATTCTATTTACATAAAATTATAGAAAATGCAAGCAAGTTTATGGTTGACAGGAAGCAGAATCAGGAGTTTGCAGAAGGAGAGAGCGGGAAGAGAAGGAGGGATTGCAGTGGCGTGTGGGGGCCTGTGTTGGGAAGTCTCCGTGTGTCCAGACCCCACTTTATGCCATTCTTGTATGTGAATCGTACCTTCATGAAAGTGGTTTTTAAGGAGAAACAGCTGCCATGACCTGTTCTTTTCCTCGTAAGTTCATGTCTTTCTTCCTTTGTGCACCTGGCCTGTCTGATGTTCCCTGCGTTCCTTTCAGATGACTCCTTCCGGACTCGTAATGCCAGCAGCCTCCCACCATCCTTCTCTCCCCCCAGTTCCTTGCCAAGTACCTCCCGTGGGACAGCTCCCTCGGTTGACCCCAAGGGCAGTGCCAGTAAGGACTCACAGCCTCGGAAGGCCACCTTGTGAGTAACCCGAGCCTGTTTCTACACTTTTCTCTCTTCTACTTAATTACTTTCCAGAGAATAGAAATGTCGACAGGAGGAAATGTTATAAAGTAAAAGGGGTTATGGTCACACTGTTATGTAACTGTTTATACAGGATGATTTGTATATAGCGGAGATACTGTAACCTTGGGGAATCAGCAAAAAACGTTTAAATGGCTTCCACTAATATCTGAGGCCTATTTTTTTCCTATGAAATGTTTGCTTTCAGGGAATTTATTTCAGAGAAGACATCCCTCTAAACACCTAGCTTAAGTACGTGGCATTTAATCACCTAGTGCTCAGAAAGATGGGTACAGCTGATGTCACTCAAGAAAGATGAGTACCAGTGTAGAATCCAGAGTTGTGAGTTCAGGACACAGGAGATATTTGCAGATGATACTTTTGCCTTGAAATGGAGGTATAAAGGGCTTCTGTTCTCCTTTTCCCCATGTTCCCTTTTAATGTGGTATTTATATCTTGTTTGACATAGCTTGAAGCCTTTCTTTTAGCTTAAGCATTATAAAAGGGTGGTGCCGTAAAAGTCACCAAAATAAGAGGCTTATTCAGGGCGTAAATGATCAGCCAGGATACCCAAACTAAAATGGCAAGTTTGCTGTGCTATATAGAACACCAGGACCTTCTGATTAGAATACTTGAAACAAGATTTAGATTTTCTTCTAAACATATTTCACTTGACTCATGGGCATTTTTTAATGAAGTTTCTCAAGTGCGTTTTTTCCCCAGACGCGCTACACTGGAGTCCCTTTAGGAATTGAGCGACATTGCAATTGATTCCAAAGTTTAGTTGGCCTTTGGTGCATGACAGAACAGACACATACATATCCAACTTCATTCAAAATTCAGAAATAAATGTATTGAGTAGAGGTCGAGGAAAGAGAAGGACCCCATAACATCAAAAAGCAATAGTAGTAGAAACAAGTCATATTAATACAGAGAGCGCTTTTATTGGCAGAGAATACTCTTCTCACACAGTTATTGGTCTGACACTACAGTGGAAGCTCCGTTTCACGGTCAAGAGAAGAGGCAGGACAGGGCAGCGGTTGGTAGGGAACACTGGGCTGGGGCCTTGTGTGCGTCATTGCCAGCAGCGGCTCGGTGGCCGTGCTCGTTCAGTCCAGCCTCTGGAGTGGCTGTGCCCATCCGCGCCTGGAGGGCTGCTCGGGCCTTCTCCTGCAGGTGCCTTCTGGCTCTGGTGCCTGACATCCCTCCTCCCGGTCGCTTCACACCCTCTTCCTCTCACCAGACTGCCCTGGAATTCGTCTGATGAGGAACCTGTTTAATGACACCAGAAGTCATGCGTTTTCGCTTCTGTTTATTTTTCTAAATGCATTGGCATTTTTTTTAAAGGCCATTGGAACTTAATTTTAGATTCCTGCCTTTATCTGTTTTTTCATTGTTCAGCATGTTTTTCCTTTTTATAGACTGAATTTTCTCATGCTCAGTATACGGGGGCACCAAAAAAATGTATACACGTTTCAAGTATGATCTTCGCGCAAAAGGTGGCGTTAATCAAATGCATCCTAGCGTTGCCATGTACCAGGCAAGGCAGTCAAAGAAAATGGTGGAAGCACAGTTAAGCGAATATCATATTACACATTGCTATCGTAATTGAGTTCAACTTTGAAAAGTAATACATAGATAACATCTCTTAAAATGCGTATACCTTTTTTGGCACCCCAGCCAAAAAAGTGTGGGATTACTTAGGTAATCATATATGTAATTGGTTATTAAACAATTCAGAAACACACAAGTGGATAATAAATCACAACAGCCTAGTTTCTTCTGATTCTGGAGGAGGAGGAATATTGGTATCCACAGCTACTTTTTAAAAAATATGTGACTGGACATACAAGCCCGTAACTGTATTTCTATATAATGTGACAGTGACCTGGCCTCTTTCATGAGTGTACACTGCCATGTAGCTGGAATTGGTGGCTGGTGTCTACATTGGTCTTCTTCCTGCGATGTATTATCCACAATTCTGAGCCATGACATACTCAAATGAAAATATGTTCTTTGTCTTTAAACTAAACCTATGGAGTTATTTTGGAAAGTACGGTCTCAAGTTTTGCTTTTCAAGACAAGTCTATTACAGTCCTCAGCTTTCCAGTGTAATAGAGATGACACGAGTGGTATTTAGGAATATTAGTGTCTTAAATTACAGGTGTGCATATCTTGTCTTTGAAGGTACCTTCCACATTTAGGCCTGTGTAATTTGTTACGGTGGTACAAAGTTTAAAATGTAGGAAAAGTTATGTGAATTAAGTTGAATACTATGGGAGGTGTGTGTAGGATTCTTGAAAATTAAAGGTAATTCCAAGTAATCATTAACGTGTAATTAATTTTCCCCTTAATCAGAATTCCCGTAGATTAGGTTTATTCAAAGTAGATTGTCTACATACCTTTATTTACTTGGTGAGCATTATGTGAATGAGGTCGTTTACGATTTTTCCTCCGTTCTTCCCTCCTTCCCTCCCTCCCTTCCCAAAGAAAGTCCAGAAAATCCAATCCTTAAATCAACTGCTTGACGGAGGAGGCAAGACAGAGCAGCTGGAAGTGACGTGACCGAGGACAGAAGCGGACGTGTGATGCTGGGGCTTTTTTTTTAAGATTAGTTTTTTTTCAACGAGTGGAGAAAGAGACATAATAGCCGCTGATGTTAAACTTTTCATATTTGGAATTAGATTCCCTAGGAGGCATAATACCTATGTTTCTTGAGTAATAATGTGGTTTCAGCACTCCAGTGTTACAGTGAAGTGTAATGAAAAACAGCTTTAGGCGTCTGCTTTGACCACTGCTTGCAGCAGAGACAAGTCTGCCTTTCTTTGTGCGAGAAACCAGCTATTTAATTGTTCTAGAGTTTAGCATTTGAAACAACAGTATGAAAGTGCAAATCAGCTGATACTGCCTGAGCTAGATAATCGCTTGGAGGGAACTTGAAAAGTAAGAACGATATACTCCACTTTCTCTCGACTCTCCAAGCCCTGTTGTGGAAAGTCACCCTAAAGGGTACAAACAGCTGTTCACCATTTTAGCAGTCTTGCAATTGTGGCAGCAGTCTGTTGTACCTGGCAGTTCCCCACTTTAAATTTGGCAATGAAAATTCCACAAAGATTTCTGATAGCTTTGAGCTATAACTACCTTAAAATAATAGATTGATGATTTTCTTTACATCCAAGAAGAATTTATTTTATAAATACTTTATTTGTTAGATTGTATTTGTCCTTACTTAATTTAAATGATGAATTTAGTTTGAATCAGCTGTTACTCCAAGTTATCATGCTCTCGCTATGTCAACAGCATTTATTTGTACCAGTGCTCATATTTCCATCAAAATTTGCCTGTGGGACAGACACAGTTCTTAACTGTAAAATGTCAGTTCTGGAGATAGACGGTCTGAAGCTGTTGTCAGCTTCTCTACTTCAAAATGCAATCAGCATATAACTGTATTGATACTAGAAAATATTTGTTTTTTAAAATATATTGATGTATGATAAAGACGATTTACTTTGTGAATGCATACGCGTGTGTGGTTACTTTTTATAATGTGAAATGATGAATTTACTCTAAATAAAACATAGGTTAATGAACTGCCTGTGTTTGTGTAACAAGCTTTAAATACTTTCCTGCAGTTTTTACTCCATAATTAAAGATTAAGTTCCTTTCTAAGTAATGAATAAGAGAAGCATGCCAGTGGGAACGGCAGATGATTCCGAGGACGTTACTCGGGGTGGGGCTTCTTCGCCACCGTCTTCCTTCTTCCTGCCACATGCCTCTTTTTGGCTCTTGTTTGTGATTGTTAATGCACCACACCCAAGGACAGTCAGGTGAGTGACATATTCAGCTACTCATCTCGTCAGCCGTTAACATTAGTAGGCGTGAGGAACTTGACAGGACTCATTGGAGGAGTTCTGTCTGTTCTTTGTGGATTTTATTTAGCTGTTTTAATGATGTTCCTTCTAGCACAAATAATGTGGAATTGAATATGTTACGATCCAGAGAATGTGGTGCCTGATGGGACCTTCACGGGACATCGGTTTTTCCAGTCCTTTGATTCACAGTCAGCACTGATTCTGGAACTTTAAGGAAAATGGAGGATTTCAGTTTATTTGTTAAATAATAAATCCAGCAGCGTTACAGGTGACAGGAAAATCACTACCACCTCTAAAGTTCAGGAAGAACATAAAGAAGACATTTACAGTCTTACTCCTGGGCACTAAATTATCAGTTAAGAGAGTTGTTCAGAATTAACTTGCGGAAGTTGTTTTCTGTTTGTTTGTTTTTTGGGACATGATCATTTCTAAAATATTTGAATTGTTGGCTAAAGTTATATTTCCAAGAACAGATATGTAGAGACAGAATAAAAAGCAAATTGGTAGCAGTTAAGGAAATCCACACCTATCTCCATACTAGAAACAAGATCGATGCATTGCAAAAGTTCTCAGTTTAATGTCATGTCAAGTCGATCCTTTAAACTTGTGGTATGGGAGCGATCTCCCTTCATCTGTAGCTGCAGGGATAAGGGGACATCTTCTTCAACTTTTTGTGAATTATTAAAGCTTGCATTTTGAAGAATAAGTTCTGGAATTTTACTAGTTAGCAGAACTGGAGACAGGGCTAAAAAAGGGTTTTACTTTAATAGACATAAAATAAGGAGCATGTCGAATTTTTCTTCTATAACCTCGTACAGATTTTTATTTTTTTAACGAATGAGGGAAGATAAATTTATTAAAGGGAAGATACGTTTTACAATGGGCAGGGCACAGAGGGTGGGACGGCAGTGAGAGAGTCTGCTGTCTGCCTTATATATAATTTTAAAATCACATCTATTATTTGACTTCCTGAGCTTGGATATCTTATTCTGGAAGGATGAGTCCGTAGTGCCGTGCAGAGAGTGGGCATTTGAGAACTTTTTGAATTGAAACGAAATAGGCTCTTCAGCTCGAGGGGCAGTTTTACAGTGAGGGTAAAATCAGTTATTTAATTCGGTGGCCTTTTTTCAGTTGTTACCGATGTGAGTATATATGAATGAGTGTACTGTGTAGGAACGGTTTTCACAACTTGACACATATATGGATATAGTGAAGGCTTATGCAGCGTTCAGATTTCCCCCTCAGAAACCTTGAATGTGCGTGTGTATGAGATCAGTTGCCATTTTCAATGGTTTGCATTTTTTTCATCATGCATGTATACTTGGGAAATCTGAAGCTGAGTGTCGTGGCAACTTCTTTAGGCAAATGTGGGGGAACGCTAATAAGTATTTTAAAAATAGAGAATAGGGCCATTTTTCTGCCTTGAAGGTAGCGGTTGGGCTGTTGGTGGTGTGCAGTGTGTGTGACAGGGGGAAGGAAGGGGTGTTCCTCTGCACGTCCTGTGGCTCCTTCACTCATAGGGAACTTGTTTAGGACCAAGGCTGGCCACATCTGTTCCAGAGGGGTTTGTGTTCTCATAGACTTTCTTTTCTAGGTTTCATCTCTAAACAGTGGGACATGTGACTGGACCCCTTTTATTCCTCTTTCTTCTATCTTTCCACGGACAAATTTGGCGGAACTTAAGGGTGTCAGCTGGAGTTGGCCCTCTGTTTGTGTCTCTTTCTAGGGCCTGGGAGCTGGCCCTGAGTCAGTGTCAAGCCGCACCCTTGGAAGAAATGCAGAAGCGAATCAATACCCAGATCTTGGAATGATGAAAAGCCAGTCTTCAGACAGCCTCTTAATAATACTACCTATTAACCTTGCTCTGATGTGTGTTAATAATCAAGATAACTAATCGCAAAACTAATTTTTGGTGTGTTTAAACACACCAAACTAGCTAACAAGCAGACAGAAATCCAATTAGGCATTTCACCAACACAATTGGCACTTAGATAATGCTCGTCATGATTCTCGGAACTGACTCCTAAAATATTTTCTTGTTCCTGTGTCAGAAAATAACCGCCTAAGCCAGATCAAGGGCACCCCCCACTTCGCTCTTACCCCGGGACACGGCCTGTGCTTGTACTCTGTGTCGCCGTAGTCGGTAACTGCGAGGCCAGTGCATACGGCCTGTGTCGCTGGAGCGCATCCGGTGTTTCAGATGGAAGGAAGGAAGGGTGTGAAGGGGTTGGGAAACGGACTCAAGAGGAGCAGGCTTCCAACTCTGCCCTTGGACCCCGGGGGACCTTGGACGCATACTTTCCTTCCACTGAGTTCTAAGTTCTGGCCTCTCTGCCGTCTAGTGGACAAGCAGAAGGCACAGGGCCAGGGCCTGTGGCACGTGCCACTTCCTGCCGTGAGCAGGATGCGTGACCGGCACTGGTTAAGAGATGACTGTAGCCCAGAATACGTTTGGCTTTCTACCAAGGCGGCCATGAAATGTAATTTTTAATATGTATGTTTTCATGAAGGAAGGCGCTTGCAAGGGCAGGAGTGCCCAGGGCCCGTGAAGATCGTCCCGTGGGCCTGCTTCTGGGTCCCCGTCCCCTTCCTCTGTCAAATGCAGTCATGCAGCCGGACGGGGTGTGCTTCAGCCAGTGCCCTGTGGTGCATCTGGGTGAGGATGGGCAGCACGGAGGCAGGCGCCTTCTTGAGGCAGGGTGATGAGAGTGGGTTTCTTCTGGTCTCAGCACGAAGTGGCTCCATCATAGAGTAATATACACTGCTCGGTTGGCACCAGAGAGAAGAAAGGAGCCACAGGCACCTGGCTCAAGGAGCGTGTGTACATGTCCTCCTCTTAAGGGCGTTATCTGGAAACAGTGCTCCGATCTACGCGGGCTTTTACAGCAGCGGAGAAGACGAAAGCATCCTGCCCGCTCACCTTCAGCCGGGTCATTAAGGCTTTCTGAAACAGGCTTGAAACGCCAGAGTGACTGCACAGACATCTGCCGAAAGACACGTTTCAGCGTGATGCTCTTACGGCTGCTCCCCCTTGTCCACAGTGTTGCTGCCTGCATTCCAGTTCCCCATGGTCAACTGTGGTCCAGAAGCGTCAGATGGACAATTCCAGAAATGAGCAATCTGAATGTTTGGACTCACGTGCCGTTTTGAGTAGCAGGATGCGGTCTCGTGTCTCGTGCTCCATCTCGCCCGGGGTGGGAGTCCTCCCTTTTCAGCACGCCCGCCTCGTCCACGTCCTCTGCCCATGAGGAGCTTAGCAGCCGCGCAGTGCTTGTGTTCACGTCGCCCTCATTTCACGTAATTGGGTTACTGGTTACTGTTACTAATCTCTCACTGTCTCATCTATAAATGAAAGTTTCTCCTGGATATGTATGTGTAGAAAACATGGTATGTATGATGTTCAGTACTATCCATGGTTTCAGTCCGCTGGGGGTCTTGGGACAAATCCCCCTCGGGTGGGGGGGACCACTGTGTTTATTTGAGAATAGCCCAAACTAGTCAAGGACAGAAGGGGGGTTCTTCTGCCTTCCGGTGCTAGTATCCCGTGGGGCTTCAGATACCTCTGGTCAGTGGTTACTGGAGCACAAAGCACTTGTGCCGGTCATAAATCACAGGAGGGTAGGATTTACTACCCTGCCCAGAAACAGAAGCATCCTTGTGGTTTCTTCATAGATCATGAAATGAAACGGCCTGTCCACCTTGACTATAGGAGGCATGGAATAAGCCATCATTTCTACCAAGGTTCCTGCTGCGGCCTCTGTTCCCTTTTCGTTGACTTCAATCACTGCTCTCTGTAAAACCTGGAAGAGGAAGTCATGTGGGAGAGGTCATTTTCGTAACCGCGGGGAGGCAGGGACTAGCTGAGCCCTTTGAAATTCTTCGTGGTGGTCCCCCCCACGGGGCCATGCTCCTGAGATTCAGTGGGGCGGGCCCATCTGTGTTAAGAGGAGTGGGCTGGGGTGGTACCAGGGACAGCCCCAGGTCTAAAGCAATACCGGGAGACCTCCGGATCCATGAAATACCATGGAATAGGTGAAACTGTGGATTCAGGAATGTACACAGTCACCAGATAGATACTCATCGAGAATCTACTTTGTGCTGGTTATTCTTGAGCGGAGCCGGTGTTCCTCAAAGGTTTCCAGGCTGCCTGGATCCCTTCAGTACTGTGACTTCCCTTCCGGAAGGCAAGATGGGTTGTCGTGTTTAATTGTCCTACCTTCCCGAGAGGGTAAGTCCTGATTGCAGACCACGGTCACCCTCCTGGGTCCTACTTAAGTGGACACCGTTTTTAATCTCTCTTGGAACGTAAAATTGCAATCGTAGAGGGAAATACTGACCGAACCCTACAGCTGCAGAGAATGCAGTGACACGTAGCTGCTGTCGGGAAATGTGCAGGCGCGTTTGTGTGATGACGCCACACTTGGCATTCGTGAGCAGCAGGGCTAACTGCCCCCTGCGTGGCACAAGACTCCTGGACAACAGGCATCCCTCCAAACCAGGAGCCCTTCCACTGCGGAGGACTGGTGGGCTAAAGGGGTCTGTGTGGAGGCTGACGGACGTTTTAGAGGTAAGAATTAGGACCAAAAAGTATGAGTTAGGGAGAAGTTGCAGATCAGTCTATATGTATTTTTTGAGTCAGTGTCTCATTCTGTCGCCCAGGTGGGAGTGCAGTGACACACTCACGGCCACCGTAGCCTCGACCTCCTGGGCTCAGGCGATCCTTCCGCCTCAGCCTTCCAAGTAGCCGGAGCCACAGGTGTGCACCACCACGCCCGGCTAAATATATTTTTAAAAATAAACAATTTTAGCTGCTTGTGGATTGGGCTGCTTTTCCAAGAAATGGCGAGTTTCCTGTCCCTGGAAACCTTGAGAGAGATGGGAGGGATAAGGGAGTAGGGCGTTGGGCTGGGTGGTGTCTGGGGCTGCTTTCGTGCCAGAGGTAGTGCACTTTCACGAACTTTTCGAGGTATATGCAACTTAGGTAATGATCTGTAAGCCAGTCCCATTTCAGGGGCATGCTGCTTCTTGAGCACTGGGAGGGGAGATGGAGAAAACTCTACTTAAGTTCGTTGAAAAAATATTTTAAGAAAGTAGCTGGAAATTCTTCAAATATCTAACTCGGGTACTATTTCATATCCTTGGAATTTAAATCTTATTTTCTACGACAACTAGGTACTTTCTCAAAGGTCAATGGTTTGTAACAATATTTGCTCTGGTGACGTCTTACACCAAGGGCTGGGCTCTGATTGAGACTCTGACTGACCTTGGATACGTGAAGATTTGCAGTAGCCGAGAGTTCACTGAGATCAGCCCAGGGAGTGAAGATTCTTCTGATTCCCATCTGTTTAAGCAGCTCATGCATCTCATACTTCTGGTCCAGCTTGAACTTTGGAAGGAAAACTTCCATCTGTCTGTGGTACAAACACAGAGGATGGTGACAGGTAGACAAAGCTCTCGTCTGCGAACACTAAAAAGGCCACACTTTCTTGGTATTCCTCCCTCCAAGGTTACTTCTGTCCACGAGTCTGTCCGCAGGCGCACGTAGCTCACACCCTCACCTTTGTCATGTTTCATCTTAGGGAAGACGCTTCTGGCCTGCTGATCATCACCTCAGCCTCAGCGAGTTGGGCGCCTCAGCCAGTGACTCATCTTCTCTTAAGCAAAGAAGGCCGGTGTGTCATCCCCTCGTGTTTCAAAAACAGCCCAGATTAAGCCACTTCTAGCAACCCTGCAGACTCCGGGAAGATGGCTGCTTTCAATCCCTGGATTCTGCAGACGCCCCGGTATTTCCTGGAGAACCCTGGGAGCCTGGGGGTGGGCGGGATGGGGAGCACAGGAGCCTTTCCACCCACTTAACCAGATAAATTCGGATATTATCGATTTTACGTATCGGGGTTCTCGGAAAGCAGGTTGTTTGGAAAGATGAGTTTCTGTGACTCAGAGTGTGAAAACTACCGTTTGATGAGTCTTTGAAAAGTCCCCTTTCTTAATCTGGGACGTGTAGCCCAAAATACCAAGACCAGTTTCAAAGGCGTGATTTCAAAGGGCTGTTCACAGGAGCCATGGGAGTCCAGTGCCCACGGCGTCCTGGGGGCCTTTGTCGGGACTGGGCTCGGTGCCAGCTTCTGGGTTGACAGAATCCAGAAAGCAGCTGTGGGCTCCTTCCTGCCGCTGCCTTCCTGGCACTCTGCTGGGCGGATTCGGGCAGTGGATGGACCTCTGAGGCCCCCAGCTTCCTCTCCTGGCACACACCCCTCACCGGACAGCTCTGTCCAGTCTCATGCTCCAAATGGCAGGTTTTGGGGGTGATGGCTGCACGTCCGTCTCCGCCCAGGACCTCCCCCGGACTCAATCCAGCGGCCCTCTTGACACCTCCACCTGGACGTCTCTAGATAGTTCCGATCCGGGTGTTGAAGACGAGCTTTGAGCTCACCCCAGACCTCTTCCCCCTACGCGCTTCCCATCTCAGGCAGGGGCAAACCCATCCTTCCCGCTTCTAAGGGCAGACGTGGCAGTGCCCCTGCCTCCCCTTCCCTCTCACCCGTGCCCAGTCCGTGAGCAAAGCGGCCAGCTCCTGCTTCCCAGCAGACCCAGGACCCAGTCGCGGCTCCCTCCCCCAGCACCCCGTCTTCCTGGCTTGCCCCTGCGGCCTTCCAGCCTTCGCCCTGGCTTCCGTCCCTGCCCCCGGCGTCGTTTTCAACCCAAGCCCGCTTGATCTTTCAAACACAAGCAGACCGCGTTGCTGCTCTGCTCAGAACCCTCTCGTGGCTTTCCAGGCCCGAGTCCGTTCTGGGCCTGCGAGGCGAGGTCCTGCTGGCTGGGTCTGTGGGCCTCTCGGCCTCTGCTGCCAGCCACACTCTTTGCTGCCCCCCAAACCCCCAGGCACACACTCCCCAGCCTCGCAGGCTTCTGCCTGTCTCGCTTCGGGTCACCCTTCACCTCCAGTTTGCTTGCTGCTGCGCCTTGGCCAGGCCCTCCCAGACCTCCCCCTGCGCCCGGCTGGCACTCCCTAGTCCATCCCTGCATGTCTGTGCCCCACCTATTTAGTCTGCCTCCCTCCGCCAGGATGTGAGCTCCCTAAGGGCAGGGACGTGTGCACATCCAGTTTGTGGATGCCTTCCGGGCACGGTGCACGGCCCGCCGTCGGCAAAACTTAGTAAGTACTGGCGAGCCGAGTGGACGAAGAAGCCAAGCCTTGTGGCCAGTGGGGGCCATCCAGTGGACAGCAGGACACCGCACCTGCCCTCGAGACCACAGCTCCCGGGGGGGTGGCCATCACAGAGCCCGGGGTGAGACTGCGAGGGTGGAGACGTGAAGCTGGAGCGGGGTGCAGGAGGGGCCGTACCTGGCTTTCATGTTTCTGAGCCACGACTCCACCAGGTCCGTGGTCAGGTAGTCTTCGAGGGCAAGGTGGTCGCCTATTCTCTCCATGAGGACCACCAGCATGGTGGCGTTTCCTCGGTAGGGCAGTTTCAGGACGTGGCAGCGGAGATCCCTGTCGAAGGTGGAGGCGAACTCGCCCGCCCTGTACATCATGGGCACCTTCACGGCCTTGTACTTGTCCAGGTAGAAAGCGTCAGCTTCAGTGAAGGCAGGGTCAAACGGCGTCAGCCATTTCCCTGGACAAATCAAAGAGCGTGTTGCAGAAGCCGCCTCCTCGAGAAACACTTCTCAAGCAAGGGGGGTAGAGTTCAACCTCCTCGCCGTCCCACCTGGGAAAGGCGTTCCCCTGAGGGGCTCAGAAGGCGACAAGCCCCCCCAGTTCACCTCTTCCCCGGCCCCTCCCGCTGGCGACACGGCTCCACCCGGGCCCTCTTGGAGCACACGGGGAGAAGGGCCTGTCCCCCAGCAGCGCCTCGGCCCCCTCCTTGTCCGGGACCCGAACAGAGCTCGCTCGCTCCCTGTGGCTAGCTCGGCTTAGAGGGGCCTCGGCCTCGGCCCGGCCCCGCCGTACAGGGCCCTCTGGCTGCCGCTGTCCGGGGCCTCCCAGGCCCAGCACACCCATGCCACGGTGTCCAGCATGGCAGGATTGACCGCCCCCACGGCTCAGACGGGCTCTGGGAGAGGCCCCCCGTGCAGAGGAGACTGCCAGCACGCGTACTTGGCCGACTCCAGGCCAGCCCCACCCCAGCCGGGGCCAGCCACGGTCTCTGCCGCTTGGCAGGCGACCTTGATCTGGCGAATCTCTCTGAGCTCCATCTTAGAAAGCTCCATCGAGAGCGACGGCTGCTCGACCTGCTGCCCTGGCAGCTGGGAGGCCACATAGGAAGAGTCCGTCTGCATGCAGCGTCCGCTGCGGGCCGAGCACACGGGGCGTTCATGCTCAGGGTCTCACGCCGCCTCCCAACTCGGGGGCTGCTCTCCGGGGTGTCCCCACTTCCCATAAGACTCTCGGGACAGAAAGCTTGCTCCTTGCCCCCGGTCACAGAAGCAGAGAATCAAAAAGATGCAGTCCTAAATCTCAGATACCCTGCTTTTTTTTTGAATGACCCTGTGCTGCCTCTTCCTGACGCCAGGGAACACCGTGAAGGGAGCTCCAAATGCCTCATGGACCAAGGCAGTGGGAGGGCCAGGACCGGGGGCTTAAGTGACAGCGTCTGGCCCCGTTCGGGGCGTGTTTCGGTCTGCTGGAAACCTGCAGGCGTGGCCACAGACGCCCCCTGAGCCCCGACCGTCCGCCGGCCACACGCAAGGAGAGGGAGAGGGAGTCGCAGGGCCCTGTGGCTCCGGACGTCGTCAGGTACCTTTGAAGAGGACGTACTCCACCAGAAGCAGTTTGGTTTCGGGATCGACCTCGTCGAAGAGCTTGGGGATCTTTCCCTGCGTCTCCTGGCTGACGTACCGGTTCACGAGCCGCGTGGCCTGGGAGGCGTTGCCGAAATCCGTGGGCACACACTCTGTGCCAAAGTACCTCCTGGATGCCCTGCGGAAGGTCTCTCTGACGTCGAAGTCCTTGTGGGTGAAGGCCAGGCTGCCGTGGGCCAGCCCCAGCTCCCGGTCGCGGGAGAGGGTCTCTCGGAGCCGCTGGAAGAGGGCCGGCAGGAG